ATGATACCCCATGCAACGTCATATATACGATATCCCAGGCAGCTTCCTTTGAACGATTCCCCCTGGAACGTCATATATACGATATCCCAGGTAGCTTCCTCTGAACACCATGCAACGTCATATATACGATATCCCAGGCAGCTTCCTCTGAATGATACCCCATGGAACGTCATATATATGATAACCCAGGTAGCTTCCTCTGAACGATATCCCATGCAACGTCATATATACAATATCCCAGGTAGCTTCCTCTGAATGATATCCCATGCAACGTCATATATACAATATCCCAGGTAGCCTCCTCTGAACGATATTCCATGCAACGTCATATATACGATAACCCAGGTAGCTTCCTTTGAACAATATCCCATGGAACGTCATATATACGATAGCCCAGGTAGCTTCCTCTGAATGATATCCTATGCAACGTCATATATACGATATCCCAGGCAGTTTCCTCTGAACTATATCCCACGGAACATCATATATACGATATCCCAGCTAGCTTCCTCCGAACGATATCCTATGCAACGTCCTATTATTCACATACGATATTGCACGTAGAGATGATAGACCACAGAGAAGAGCTAAGTCGATGACCCCTCGATGGGATTATAGAAAAAAATAAATTGTGCCAGAAAATACTTGAAAAAAATAATTATTCTTCATATTGTTAAAAGGAAACTATCTGCCACAAATAATGCATTGTTGCAATGTGTTTTCTGGAAACATATTTTGGTTCATAGTTTCATAATAAAAAAATATATCTGGTTTTGCAGTTGTGGCTTTGTACCTATGACAGTGAGTTCGAATCTGTTCGTCAAGATAATATTTCTAGTATTGCTGCCACCAGTCAAAACTCCCCACTGTGATAGGTGGCCCCAACCATGCTTGGAGTTGAACTCGCAACAGTTTACAAACATGTGACGACTGTCGTGACGCCGAATACACTTACCGCTGTAAGCGATGTTACCGAGAGTGTAACGAAGGTGTCACGCTTGGGATTGACAATTTCAGGGGAGGTTACTCTAGTATGGTAATAGTTCCGTCAAAGTGTTTATATATACTACAGTGAAATATCAAGTGTTATGTTCACTGCAATGAAAATATCACTTTTCTCAACTTCAGAAAACTCAGACTAGTGTGTAGGTGATGTTTGTGAGAGATGGGAATAGATTTTTCGAGTACAGAGTACAGAAGAATGACATTATATGATAAAGAGGTTTTCGCGCTTCTGTGTGTGGGGATGGTAAATATATGGTATTAGGAACAAACACTATGTATTTCGCTCTCCAGGGCTCGCTTAATAAAATGTTTATTCCTAATACAAGATATGTACTATCCCCAAACACACCAGCGTGATAACCTTTATGTTGCTGCAGTCTCATCCAATCCCGGGTTGTTTCAATTTCAGAGGTCAATAGCGAAAGCTCGCATAGACAATGGGGGGGGCACGGTCGACTTGAGTGTGTTTTATAATGTCCCTGGTGATGCGTCGAGCCTAAGCTATGTGTTATAAACGATGTTGCTATGAAGGCATTAATGGTGAGTAAAATGTAATCAGGGAGTCTAATCGGGGGTGGAAAGTACTGGAAACTTACCTTTGCCGTACCACCGCAGGTGGCGTATAAGGGTGATCTGCACGTGCATGTCGACCTTTTTTAGCGCATGTCAAAAGACATCGAATCGGTACAAACAAAAGAATCGGTACAGGTTTTGGAAAACAAGATGGCGGGCCCCTCGAAATCACCACCGGTTTCTGTTTTCGATCTGGAATTCAAAATTCACTTGCTCAGTTTCTGCATATGTTGTCGCATTTTTAATATGAAGGTTTCCTGCGTTTGTGAATATAGTCCACGTGTTTGACGACGTATTAATAATGAAAATATGTGTCCATGTGTGGTCTGCGAGTGTGTTTTATGACGTTCTTTCCTAAATCCACCACCTTGGGATACCATTAATAATCTGACAGCTTCCGTGGTCTAGTGATTAGATCGTCTGTCCGGAGAGCGGTGGTTCGAGCCCCTGGCCGCGTCATACCAAAGACGTTAAAATATGGTACTTGTTGATACTTTGCCTGGCGCTTTAACGGATAATACAAAGACTGGTCGGCTCGGGTCAATATACTGTGTGAGTAGGGTATCCATGTTAAACTGCGGCATAGCATCTCAGTGGGCTGGCACTATAAAACCGGATTTAGTCCGGACTAATACAAGCAGGCGCACACGCGTGGTATATTATTAATTATTATTATTAATACAATTGTGCTCTATGAAAATATGTAATCCTAAAGCTCACGGTTAGCTTATACAACAAAGAACGGTTCGTTTAAGATACCCCCAAAATTGGTTAAATCTCTTACAATACGTGAAAACTTGCCGTGACCATCTTCCCGAGGCAAGGCGTCCACTAGCCTTTTTATCAAAGTTTTGTCTCCACACTTGCCACATCAAGGCCACTTTCCTGTGGTAAATATGATTGGACTATCGCACATATCGATAGTCCAATCAGAGAACGTTTCACAAAATCAACACCTACGACTGGTACATATTCGTACGTGAGTGATTTACTGTTAGTTGTCTTTGTTGACATGAATATTTCTTTTTCATCTCAGCGATAGCCTGTGTTTGTTTGTTTGTTTGTTCTATACTGATTTCTGAAAAAGCGCGTTTGTTTAGAAACAAGCGAAAAGTCCGGTCACGTGATATGCAATTTAGCCTGTGGCAGTGGTGTTATGCTGAGTCACCACTGAGACGGAGCTCGAGTGTGTGCTGGCCTGTGGCAGAGGTACTCACGGCCTAGATTTTGGAAACGATCGTAAATTTATCGTAAGGAAATCGTAGGCTATCGTAGCCTATTTTCGAAACTATCGTAGCCCTGAAATATCTTAAGTTTGTCGTAAATCTAAGATAGCCACATATCTGTCGTAAGTTTATTTTATCTTCATCCAAGATGGCGGCATACTTTGCCATAGATATTTTGCCGAACAATTAGTCTGCTATACGTTCAAACATTGACATTTCATTTTGTTAAACTGTGTGATTCAAATTGACACTTCGAAAACACGAAGAACGCATCAATGATTCCACGTCAGAAATGTTCTTAATAGCGACAGCGATACCACATAACTATGGAGTCGATAGCTTAAAATATATTTCTATCCAAGTCCATGCTAAAGAAGTGTGAAACACCGTACCTTTTCGATAATTTTGGAAGGATAAAAATGGAAGGTGTCGGCAGGCTATAGTAATGACCGTGACCTTATTGATAACTCAAGGGGAGCTAGTCTTAGTTCATGATCTAGTTGAGAGTGGTTTCCCTTTGTATTCGCCCGGGACACCTTGCTCAATGTTACAGTTTTCATAAAGCGCAGAGTTCCGCTGTTATATTTTCTGGATCGCATTTGTGTCAATGCTTTAATCTTTAATTTCGCATTTTATAAAATGAAATACCACCTACATATGTAAAAAAAACCGTAAAGGTTTCGCATAAGTTTTTACATCTAAAATCGTGTGGGACGGGTGGTTTTAATAATTGAATTTTAACTACACAGTGTAGTATTTATTGACTTAACAAGGAAATACATGTGATCAAATATTTGTATACAATATATAATATTTTTCTTGCAAAAGTAATTGTAATTTGTTTCGTTTTAAATTCAATACTTATATATCTATATCCTATTGAAAGACAAATATTTGATAACAAGTGATTAAAAACTGTCTGTTGAACCATTGCATTCTTTAAAAACAGGTGATTAACGGCATAAAGATGTATTCCATTAAATATAACAATTTAATGAAATTTTGACAGCAAAAGTTAGGCACAGATTTTGGGTTCCCATGCTCGTTTGGGTTCTCGTCAAAATGTAGCATAGTTTGCAAATTGTCCAAAATGCACTTTCCAATTATGAATATATGTTAAAAAACGTTTATTGAAAGAAATTTACTGATTAATTTAAAATACACATTTTCAACACACTAATCTTTGCATTCAATAAACCGGTTTTAAAATATTTTGGTGTTTTTAGAATTTAAGTCTACATCTTCCCGTTTTATATCTAAAAAAATATAGATAAACTTGAGACCATTCAGACAATAAAATCGTTGTCACGTTAAGAATACTAGTAAATGATCGTCAGCAATTCTGTCAGACAAAGTATTTCGCTCCTCAGCCAGATTTAAATGAAATCAGACAAATCAGTTTATTAGCTCTACCTAATTTAAAAGGATAGAAATGACAACATTATATGTTTGTTCACGTTAACTTGTGGTGTGTTCCATGAGACAACATAACTTGACAATTCCGAAATTATCTCTCTTTGCGAACGAAACTTAGTGTAACTTTAAAATTTTGAAAAGAATTATGGATCTAGATAGATAAAAAAATAATTTCATCATCTCAATACTAAAAGCTTGATATTGTATTTAAGTCCTTGGTTAATTCGTGAAATATATTGGATACATAAATGTCAAAACAATTTTTTAAACAAGCAATTAGATTGTCATAAAAACTTGCTTGTGGGTGCTGCTTCCTGAACAATTTTTGTTTTGAGTGTTTCCACGTATAACGTTGGTGTTTACACTAATATAAACTTGACTTTTGACATAAACACAAACATATACAGTATACATCACTTAACATCAGACTTGAACACGCATGTTAAATGCTGAACGCATATGCTGTTCGATCAAAGGTCTACAGGTAAATCTACAGGTAGCCTAGCTCTACATTGAAAACACAGTATGTTTATCTCCTAATTGGCTTTGAAAAATGCAATTGCATGGCACACGAATGCTTTTTGTGTTCGGTTAGTCATATATTAAGAACAACATGTCTATATGTAGGACATATGTAGGATTGTACAGAGTTTCACTCAAAAATGTGCGTGTTAAACATTGTGACCTGACAATGTGATCATGAATTCCGTGTCACTTATCTATGTTGTTGTTTTGTCAGCAGCTGGGAAATCCCCGTGACGTCATTGGGAAACACCCGCTTTTTCGCATGGAACTGTTGTGAAAACGATGTCTCGGTTTCACAAACCTTGTTTTCTACTCACGTACAGGGGCTGTCAGTTCGTCAAGTCAGTATATAAGTCAATACTGCATTGAGCTGGGTACTCGACCTGGTTTACTTACAACGATGGCTGACAACACACTAAAACTCGGGTTCTCCCGTGGTCAGCCACGGAACGACCAACTCGAACCTTTCCGGAAACCTACGATCACTACAGAACTCTGGGTAGGAGAGTGAGGGGTGGGCGGGAACGGTAACGAAACAAAGGTAAACATTGACATTTAATCTGTAGGAAGCTGACCTTACTCTTACAGAACCACGTGTAGTAGTTCATTTTATTTAAATGTCACCATCTGTGATACAGAGCGATAGAGTGATAAGCTATCTTCCGTTACAACCAGCTGAGCCATACATGGACGTGACTGGATACTCGTGGGCTAAACTATGCTTATAACTCACCTCAGACAATCATACATACAAAATGAGTATAAGCTTTGGCCTCTGTTGATTACAACTTGAAGTTCCAAACAATAATCTTGATTCTTTATTCTTTTCTTATTCTTGTGTTTCATGTACAAACATTAGATTGACTGTAACAGATAGAAAGGATTTCATTGAGTATATGGCTTTTGAATTTCCTTAATTTACACATTAATTTCATAATACAGCAGTAATACCAGGTAGGGCTTGTTTACTTTACAATGGCATGAACATTTAACAATAAGGTAAATTACAACACAAACCTGGAAATTTCACAAAGTACATGATAGTCCAATAAAATGTACAGAAACAATGCCTTAAAGGGGCACTGATCTAAAGCAATTCCCTGGGACTGGTTGATGCCTTTGTTATTGTTTTTCCCCGGGAGTACCCGGATGATACAGCAGAAACCTAGACTAGTTCGCAACATATGCTGCGCAATTCGTAAGCGCACTTGTCACTTTTATTGATAGCATATGGGCGTATGGTCACATTGATCAACAAAATGAAATACGGTTTTGGAACATGTGGAAATAATAAGGAAATGTAGGTATCTTTGTGGGTAGCATCGGTAATGGTGACAAAGTTTTGATAAGTCACTTGCTTGGTAATTGTGCGATTTTCGTTTACACACTTTTGACTTGCAACACAAAGTAAATATTTCTCCTGAGCATTGCTTATTTTATAGTGTTTATATTTTTACAGTCAAAATGTGCAAAATTTTCACTTAGGAAATTTATTAAACGCCTGAATATTCAGTTATTTTACAAATTGACAGAAAAATATGTCGATCTGTATTATTATGACAACGAATTCCAACCATTTTTATGTTTAATATCATCCCGAAGAGACTGAAAATGTTACGATGAAAAGTACATTTCTATATTGTTTGGCTTCTAATCCTACATAATAATCTATTGTGATGTTTTTAGGCCCTATTGATCATCTTAATCAATTTTGGTCAATCTGTTAAAGAAATGGACAGATTTTTCAGTCAAAATGACTGAAATATTTACACATTTTATAAAGATCTTTCTTAAAGCATATTATGGTATTATTCAATGCTATCCTTAAACATGAATATATACCCAAAATGTATCATATTGATGAAATCTTACCAGTACATAAGGGTCGAGGAAAAAGTAAACTAATAACACAAATAATCAATATGATACATATGTATATGAACTACTTCTGATATATATGTAATATACATATATATATGTGTGTGTGTGCACATTTATACTATAGATGTTGTCCTTTCACTGTATACCTTGTACTCTTCATGAAATGGGGGAAATAAAGAAGATCTATCTATCTGTTAAAGAAATGGACCGATTTTTCAGTCAAAATTAGTGAAATATTTACACATTTTATGAATTGCCTGAGAGAATCACATTTTACAAATTGACTAATATACAAAGGAAAAGACTTGTGAAAACAACGTCTATCGCGCATCGAAGAATTTCCCAACCAAGATGTAGAGGAACAAGAATGAATCTGTCCAATGCTACTGCAAATGAAGGAAAACAAAATGCGAATATCATAATTACAACCTACCAAATTTATGTGTATAATTTTTGGCAGCTTCCTTGTTCGAGGAATGTATCTGTGAATATCCACACAAAGGAACAATATCCCAAACGTCTCCAGCAGTACAAAGAAACGTATTCGATGTCGCGTGTCTCTGTAACAATCAAATATATATATTAAACAAGTTTATTTGCTGTCCTTGCAGACGGTAGCCCAGTCTCTTGTCATGCTCAGTTGCGTTGCGTATCATCCGGGTACTCACAGTGAAAAAACAATAACAAAGGCAACAACCAGTCATGGGGAATTGCTTTAGGTCAGTGCCCCTTTAACTGCACTAAATAAACAGGAAGCTTAATATTTCATATACCTATCATAACTTTGGGCCATGAGAATATTTATGAACAAAGTTGAAGTCTAGGGTGTATTTCCATGAGCCAAGTCTAAATCAGCCACAAACCCTCAATTATGAAGAATTAAGTTTCTGTGTATGGTAGAAATTAAGAAGATGTATTTATAAACAAATTCCTATTTATGAATTTTCAAATGAGTGAATAAATGTGCCTTACCATTACTTAAGACCCCACTGGCACCTAGCATGACTTCCTCATGCATGCTGCTTAAAGCACATGGTGACATGACCACACCAATCTGTGCTTATCTCCCTTCTTATTAAGGCTGATGTAAAATTGGCACATGATCAAAAAATGCAACATAACATTCAAACCCAGGAAATTAAATAAACATCCTAACCATAAGAATTATTTAATATTGTATACAGCTGTTGTTATATGTAATACATAATTTGTGGAAATTCTAAAAAAACAGATTTCATACCTCCTTAACCAATTAAGCTATCATAATTGATAGAAAATAGAAATAAACATTTTGACCTTTACAGCCTCCCTTTAGAGTTCAGTACCATAAATGTTACAAACATGTCACAATACCCTCCACATATACAATGTAATATATATACTATGGCACTGTGGGCTTTCAGTATTGAGAATAACAGACTATAATGATACACCATTATATACTATGGAAAACCACCCCTCTGGATCCATGCATGAGACACTGGATACTCGTGGCCTAGCCCATGCAAATAACTCACCTCAGGCAGGCAATCAGACATACAAAATGAAGAGAAGTATTACCCAATGAGCACTTACTGAGTGTTAATTTAGTATATTTGACCCCCACGTTTTTGTTTTTAGTAGTGTTCCATTCACAAAAAGTATAGCTGTACACAAATAATTATATATTTGTTTATGACCCATGTATGGCATGAACTTCTAATTCTAAAAACCCTGCCATAGATTGTACCTTCCTTCATGGTATGTTCCTGGAAACCCTCACACACCCTTTTGCAGTTAATGTTAGTTTAAGTGCAACATATCAATAATTATGTAAGTAACATATTCCTCAAGTTTCAAATTTGGATAACAAACAAACCACCACTTTCTAATCAGACTGGTATCATTTGTTGACCAATTTATTGTTATTCTATTCAATATGTTCAAAGAAGGGGTTACTTGAAATGCATATACAGGTAAGTAAGTATTGAGTAAGCCAAAATTAAAGTTTACATCTCACAATTAAATATTGTATATAAGCCAGATTTTGAGGACCAGATAAACGACTGTAGAAAGGAGTTGGTCTATGTTAAAGTGACACATTCATCAAACTATTATTGTGCTGGTTAAAAACTACATCGTATTGCTTCAGGTGAATGAAAAACATGTACAATTTTGTCAATGAAGATGTGAAATTTGCGATAAAACATCACTAGACATGTTTTCAAGGATCAAATTAATACCCCAGCTTATCTATGAGATCATCTATGGTCATATGCTGTACACTTACTCTATAGTTTTATTTTGTCCACTCTTAAATTCTCATTGAACACATTTCATTTGCAAAGCATTTAGGCAGGCAAAATAAACTTCATCAATAATAGTATGACATCATCATAATGGTTTAGTCATTAACACTTGCTGTAGTTGAAAGGACATTGATCAGTTGATGAGTTAATGCATACTTATCCCTTCTAATTAGCTGCTAGTTGAACTGACTTAATATGGCATTTGACCAATGTTTAATGCCAGCTGGGGTATTAATGTAATGTTCCACTCCTGTTGTGAAATGGATCTAATTTGACTAATTAGGTATTCAGTGCAGCACCTGGCAAGAGGGATGTAGTTAGTGAATTCCTTGTGTTTGCTGATAGCACACTAGTTTGATCTGAGGGTAAGTTGAAATTGGCAGGAATATCCTAATTGTGGCATGTGTGGAAGTTACCATTAGCTGCTTTATCTCACTAGACATGTGTCACTACTACACCACAACCATGAACAGATCTGTCTGAGGTACAGGGGGACTCACAGCTTCCATGTTGATTCAGATCAATCACATTCCTGTTGTTTGTCAGTTTCTATCACTGAAATACATTAACAGTTTTTGTCCACTAGTCCTTATAATGATAACATATATTAAAACCCTTGAAAAGGACACATTTCTACTAGTCCTTTTTGATACCTTAACTATTGGGCAGTTTGGTAAGGACTACAGGACTCGTGCCAATTTCTAATGCTGTATTTGTTGTGTTTAGCTTTTTCTGAAAATTTTACTTGCATAACTTGTACCAGTGAAAACAAATAATTTTCATTAAATTTTAGTGTAATATGTGAACTATTTGAGTTGAGCAAAATGACCAAACAAACATTTACAAGACTATTTGGATTAGTGGTGGTGACTCTAAGGTAAGTATTTGTAATAGATACTGGGTTGCAAAGTCAGTACTATGGTAATGACTCTACTTGACACATACACAAGTATTGTTTTCCTACTTCATTGTGTTATTCGCTCCCACATCAAGCTGACATGCTGTGACATAACTGAAATACTGTTCAAATATTTTCAGTGCTCCGATGTCAGCTAACCCGTTGTCCTGATACCTCAACACTGTTAGAGTAATAACACAGAATCAGGTCCTGTCTTCCTACCACCATACCAAAACAACCACTACAACCATAATGAATAGACTTCCTGATGCTGGCTCCACGCCTCCAGCCAAGAAACATAGAAAGACTTTAGGGGATGGTGAGCTGACTTTCTCCCAGGACTCCGTGTGCCAAGAGGATGCTCACTCCTGGCAGTTCTGGTCCGTGGAGGAACTTGCAGAACAACTCACCCTTAGAGGTTTACAGGAGTTGGCTGAAAAGTTCCAAGGTATTTGAAACAGCTGCATTTATGGTTATTGTCAGTCTTAATTTTTTCCCAATTGTTTACGTTTTGATTTTGTACTGTGTTGTGCTTAGACACCTCAGGGATATCGGGATATTGGGCTATCGGGCGGGATATTGTATCAAATACACATCTCCTTTTTAGCTCTGGGTAATTATTTTGAGACCTTGATCTGTTACGTAAAGGGTCTAGGTCATCCTCAAGGTCATAGCCTGTCAATGAAACTTTCAAACATAGCAATAACCTGCTTCCAGTGAGTAAGTAGCTTAGAGTTGACACATATTTCATTTACAGCATCACAAACATAGAGGATAAATGATCAGTTTGTCAAAATACCTCAGAATTTAACATCTTCAAGATAATAAGAATTGTGACAAAAATATCAGTGTTTAATATTGTTTACTATAGCAGGAACACAGTGGTACATATCTTTCGTTGGGTGACCATTTCAATTTGTAACTTACAGGGGAAGAAATTGCAGGGAAACATCTGCGCTTTGTCACGGATGAAAAGTTAAAACAAATGGGTATCAGGTAAGCAAACTATGATATGACGTAGTTGCAGGAGATATTATGTACATGTATATCGCATAGCTTATGGAATAATTGTTTGATAGGCATTACTTAGAAGTTAATGGATGACAAAGTAGACTCAATTTAGTGATAACAACTTCTTTTTTTACTGTAACATGGTAAAGATGACACTTCTGTATAGATCCACAACCGTTGTCAAGCATATTACATAAATACCACTAACTCCAAGTACCTAATCCTTTTATGCTACTATTAATACTAAACTAATACTAAACTAATACTTACTAAACTATTGCTAAACCAATACTAAACTAATACTATATGAATACTAATGCTACTATTACACTACTACTAAAATACTAAACACTTAATACTACTACTTACACTCCACTACTAACTAATACTAAGACTATCTACTAAACTACACACTAACCTCTGCTCAAAGAGTAATGCTACAAATTACATATTACATATCTACACATATAAATTCTAGTACAATACATATACAAGTTCAGGTATCACACAATAATCTGTTTTTTCAGATCACAATTCAACTGATGATATTTTACATATACATATAGAAGGTATTTTGTCTAAAAACAAATTGTATGGTTGCTCTATAATATCAACATAGTCAGGTTCATGACAATATGCAGTCATTCATGAATTGTTGTTTATAGTCATAGTTAGTACAATTGTCCTACATAAGGCTAAAAAAGATAATAGTCTTGGTTCTCATCATAAAGTTTCCCGCACGTTTCTTTTTTATTTTCATTTTATAAAAACCCAAAACAATCCTTACAATTTCAAGTCCAACAGTTGTCAAATACTGCATTCCTGTATTTTACTCATCAAGAAATACATTTATGTAGGGAGGCCCTTTTCCACGACTGTTTATTTGGTTAAATACTAGTTTGAACACCGAAAAATAAAAAATACAAACCCCACCCACCCGCACTATATTTTTAAAGCCATTGTCTGAGAACAAATTATTTTATTTTTTTAAGACTAACAAAAGAGTTCATAGACTTAGGTAGATTATTTACATACTGCCGTCATATAGCTGGAATGTTGCTGAGTGTGGCATTAAACAACAAACCAATCCTCAGTACATCTGGGTGGTTACCCTTATATACCCAGGGTGAGTCACACAGTCAATGTTCAATGACTTACTGTAAGGTCAGGGCGTCACATCTAATCCAACTACTACTCCACTATACATAGAGCATGTCTAAATGGGTGATATATACAGCTGTGTATTTGTATAGGTTACACACAACCAAATGTTTTCCCATAGACTTCTATAGTAACGTTATGATTTTTTTTTAAATAACTAAGCATTCAACAGCTATTACCTGTACGTGTGTGCACAGTTTGGCCTTAGAGCAGCAATAAAAAAAATAAAAATGACTAGCTTACCCAGCTCCTTTTCCGAGTACCGGAAGCTAAACACACCACCCCCAGTTTCGCACCAAATGTCACCTACTTGAAAATAGCTGTGGTCACATTCAGCATAAGTCATCATGTTGAAAAAGACAGTACTAAATATAGAAGAACATGGTCAGTTTTAATAACTGGATGGATGTACATTTGAAAGACATAAAAATCTGACAGAATATCCTCCAATCACAGCCTGCAGATATCTCTCGATCTGCACTGAAGGCTCCCTACGAAAACCGCACTCTCCAAACTGGTACTGATTTGGTGTAGTAGAACCTGTAGACAAATCAGAATATATTTGCACTTGTCAAATCTGTGATTTATATATTGTATATATATGTAGCTTCTCAGAAAAAAAATGGAAATTGGATTAAACTTCACTACTTGTTCCTATCCAGCATGTCTATATGGCACCAGAATACATAGTTTTGATGCACAGAAAGAGTTGTGAGAGTTTAATGGTGTACACTTTATCAATGTTTTACAAAAGGTATTTCTGTATTAATAAAGAAGTTTTTACCTTCATGCACTGACCATGGAAGTTCATTTATATTTCATAAAAGATGGTGGTCAGGGGTCAATTCTATAAATGATTGAGGCTGCATAGATCATATCACCCTAAAATATTTTTTCGACTAAAAAAATTGAACAAATCTTTAAACCTCAAAACCAGTTACAATACATATTTAAAATTGAGTAGTGGTCTGTTGTTTGCCTTCCTTTGCTGACATCATCAGAACATAGCAGAGTCTGCTACATTCATGGAATATGGTTTTGACACTCATGACATGATGCGATTGATATTGTTTGAGATTGCTCGAACTTACACCATCCATTGTTTATATAATTAAACACTCAAATGGCTGTCAGCATTTGGTAAATCATCTATGGAGGGGCTATCACAAATGTTTGTGCTTTCATATACTCCAAAAATCAAAAGTATAATCCTCTATGATATAGGCTGATGACATAAGTACACATGGAAAGGAATCAGAAAAAAATCTCAAAATTGGACAGAGAGCATGGAATTCAGGCCAACAATAAGCAAGGGACACATTAAGCAGCTTTAAAGTCATCATATATGTAAGCCTGGATAATGAACTTTACCAGAAAATAGGAAGTAAAGGGGTGCATTGTTAACAGCAATCTCAAATGCTGACCAGTGAACCATACCGCCTATTAAAGCCGAGAAATTGAAATGGACCCTCAAGTAGAAAAAAGCTTTTTGAAACCACAACATGGAAGGAAATTACACTTAACTCTATTGATTTATTTAGTTAAGACTTTAAAATACTCACAGGACATCAAACATTCTTACTGTTTAATGTTTCAAGGTGGCTAAACTTGCTTATTTCAGTTATTTGCCAGTTTCAATGAAACAAAGTTAAAATTCCATATAATTATGAAAATGTACAGCTTATCCTGACATAAATGTAATTCTTTTTATTCACAATTAACAGTGTCATGCAATACCAGCTTAAAATAGTGTTTCTCTCCAATAATTTATGGGTTTATAGGGGAATGAAAGATACAATGCATTTTACTAAACAGGGGAGATAATTTAGTTTTGTCGAACACTATCACATTCTTTACAGATGATTTCAGAACCATAATGTTACATTCCAAAAGAGCCAGTGGATATTATTTTCATCTAAGCAGGTTCTGGGACTGGTGTATAGCCCTTACTTCATGTTTGCAAACTAAAAAACTGCACAGTGAGGCATTAAGGGAGCACTGTCAGAAATGTCTAGTGCATGAGGGGGATCTTATTATGGCACTTGATAGTGAGCAACAGAGGGGCCTCAAGTGGACTGGGGTTCTTAAATGTACTTACTGTACCTACATGTCCAAGTTCCACAACTTCTACAAGGTAATGAAGCGCAGCGAGGCAAAACAAGGGTTGTCGATCACACACTGCCAACACCGGACTTCGGATCAGCTTCTCCAAATGCCAAATTCGATGTCGAAACTCCTACTTCTTCTGCATGAGTGCACATATACCTCCCCAGTCAACATCAGGCATGTGAAAAGCTGAAAAAAGTGTTCAGACAATATCAAATGGCAAACCAGTTTGGATATAACAGCCAGGAGTCAGTTCTTGAGGGGACAAAATAATTATTTGAAAGTTATATGAGTGAAAAATAAGTCTGTTTTAAGAAACTTAATAGAAAAATAGCATCATTCATTCACACAAGAGCACCTAACAGAAAGACATATTGGTATGCTACATTGTTTACTATAAATAAGGGGATGTTTGACATATTCTGCTGTCAGCAGTGTACATGCTTCATATTCAAGATAACGGCATCGCGTAACTTGACTGGCAAGCGATTGACACAAGGCAGAAATTGTTGTGGCAGTGGTGACTTTATCCTAATTTGTTGTCAAATTCATCAGTTTCAACAAATTCAGAAGGCAGGAGGAGGGCTTGTTGGACAGAGGTACCCTGGGGGGTTCGTGCTGAGTTCGACCACAATACGAAGCAACATTCATTTCCAGCCCATCCAAATGCTCCATTCAACCCAAAATGTCCCCAACTTCACTGTCATTATTTTTAAATTTGCCTCCATGGTGTATCCATGGTGAAATATAAACAGAAAAGCATGTAAAGTATGAATTACTGAAATGTGCACTCACCCTACAGGTTACACACAACCAAATGTTTTCCCATAGACTTCTATAGTAACGTTATGATTTTTTTAAAAATAACTAAGCATTCAACAGCTATTACCTGTACGTGTGTGCACAGTTTGGCCTTAGAGCAGCAATAAAAAAAATAAAAATGACTAGCTTACCCAGCTCCTTTTCCGAGTACCGGAAGCTAAACACACCACCCCCAGTTTCGCACCAAATGTCACCTACTTGAAAATAGCTGTGGTCACATTCAGCATAAGTCATCATGTTGAAAAAGACAGTACTAAATATAGAAGAACATGGTCAGTTTTAATAACTGGATGGATGTACATTTGAAAGACATAAAAATCTTACAGAATATCCTCCAATCACAGCCTGCAGATATCTCTCGATCTGCACTGAAGGCTCCCTACGAAAACCGCACTCTCCAAACTGGTACTGATTTGGTGTAGTAGAACCTGTAGATGCATAAATAAAACTGATCAAAACTGATAAATATAAAAACAGTTTGTTACAATTTTACTCCACAGTTGTCTTTACAATGCTCGTTATACTAAACAGCACAATTTCATTATTCAATATGTATTCAATATATTAATAAACTACATAATTTTACAATACTTGAATATGATAAAATTTGAAGTACTTACGCATGATCTTTTCCAAACATGTGATGGTGGTCAGACGTTCTCATGCCCAACTGCTCGACCCACACTGACCTGAGGTGTGTACTCCTTGTATACTGTAAATCTTGAAATTAACACAAGCGTGAATTAAATGCGAAAAATGTGAGTGGTCTTTGCTTGCATTATTAAACATCGCATTTATAACAACAATAAGACATTTCGGATAGCAGAAATACCAACTTAGTCATACGCTGAAAACAAACAACTATGTATTCCACACCACTGTTTATTGAGCAGCACTTGTAACAAGTATATAAACGATGTCATTCAAACACTAATTACATCCTGTAAATAAATCCACTGATGCTTGAGAGGAGGGAGGTGTCGCATTCATATTGAGTTGCATTTTTGTCTGGGGGCCAGTGGTCGCATTCATTTGGAGACGCATTAATTTCACTATTTACAGTACCCTTGCACGCGCACGGACTATCTGCCTCACAATCGCACGAGCAACACGGGTTAAGCCAGTGTGCAATGTATCTGCTTGCTCTCACCTTCCATTCTTGCATTCAAACTTAAGTACCCGGTATGCCTTTCACACTTGGCCTTCACACTCTATCTAACATAACAAAAAGTATTTAAGGAATAGTTACTGTGAGTGAGTATTTCAGTTATATAAAGGCATTTTGAGTCATCGTGAGTATGTAGATCTCTTGACATAATTGTTTTTATAGATGAATGATTGATATATCTTTGATTTATTGCATCTTGATAACTAGTTCTGGAGTTATGTGTTTTTTGTGTATTGATGTTGTATGGTTGCTACATTATCTTGTTTTTGACACACAACTTCAAATTGTTCCTTGACATTCCGACACCATTTGATGTCTAGTGCGGTGGTGTGGAAATTGAAGTGAAACTGTCAACTGTCTTGGTTTATGTTTTTAGGAAAATGGGTAAAATCCTTGATTTTGAGAAGTTCTTACATGATGTTGGATGTAAGGCCAATAAATGGAGTACCTATCATCCCAATACAAAGGTAAGTGCAGGACAGATTAATGTTGATTGATGCTCATAATATTCACTGGTTTGTCTGGTCCATACCCCCATTATTAACAGGCTGCCATCATATAGCTTGAATGTTTCTCTAAGTGCTGCATTACAGCAAAGTTGATCCCGATATGAGATCCTGTTAATCATTTTTCTGCATTTAACATTGTTTGCTGTCAGCCATCCTAAACATGTTATATATCCATGTTAATATTCATGTTAATATTCATTTGTAGATATATTTATGTTAATGGTTTAGTCATGGTCATAGAGTTAGTTGGACTGATAGACTGACTGACTGACTGACTGAATATGGTTTTACACCGCTTTTAGCAATATTCCAGCAACATCACGGCGGGGGACACTAGAAATGGGCTTCACACATAGTACCCATGTCGGAAATCGAACCTGGGTCTTCAGGGTGACGAGCGACCGCTTTAACCACTAGGCTACCCGACCGCCCCTGGACTGATAGAGAGTCAGCCAGTGAGAGGTCTGGTCTCGGGTTCTCCTGGGCACCAACACTATGACTATGATATGCTGCCCCAGCACATTGTTGTGATTGTTGTACATAGTAGGCATGGGCATTGGAGGTTTAAAGTGTATCACAACATTGTACAATGCAAAGGCTGTATTGCGATACGTATCACAGTATATTGTATAATTCAAAATTTTGAATTCTGAAGCAATTAGCAACATCAATTGCAGGGATTGAAGTTCATAAATGGAACAAAACAAGATGCTGGAACATGATATTGTTCACTCATTCAATGCATACGCGTGGATACATGAACCGGGAAAGGGATAATTTGGTGCTACACCACTGCCACAAAAGAACTCCAGAATGCGAACTTGCATTTTGGAATTACGGAAACATTTATAATGTACATGTTTTTGGCAAGTGTATAGCAATAAAACATGATAAAAATTGCTATTTGAAATTACCCGATATACAGAGCATTAAAACATGATATTATGTTATCATTGAAAGAAAGAACCTCAATTTACCAATATACCAGTAATACTGCACACCCTTTGTACATTGCAGTCTGTGCCAAAACCTTTTGTGTCTACTAGCCTGACCCTGTCTCTTGACATCGTTTTCAGTAGATCTTAGTGTTAACATGGTAAATGCATGATAAAGCTAAGCTTACAAGACCAAATGAAATGTTACTACACATGGGCTATAGAAAAGTTGCTAAAGTCACATACTATGTAATTGTTTTACATATGATTTTAGGTAATGTTTTATTTGAACAAAGTATTGGGTAAGGTTTGATTTGAGCATAGTGTAGGGTAAGGTTTGATTTGAGCATAGTGTAGAGTAAGGTTTGATTTGAACATAGTGTAGGGTAAGGTTTTATTTGAACATAGCATAGGGTAAGGTTTGATTTGAACATAGCATAGGGTAAGGTTTGATTTGAACATAGCATAGGGTAAGGTTTGATTTGAACATAGCATAGGGTAAGGTTTTATTTGAACATAGCATAGGGTAAGGTTTTATTTGAACATAGCATAGGGTAAGGTTTGATTTGAACATAGCATAGGGTAAGGTTTGATTTGAACATAGCATAGGGTAAGGTTTTATTTGAATACAGCATAGGGTAAGGTTTGACTTGAACAGAGTAACATTTGATTTGAACATAGCAAGGTTTGATTTTAACATTGTGCAATGGACTTTTTGCAACCCTTAATTGACCACCCTTGTTATACATGTCATAGTTACTCTTAGGTGTATATTCTGCTTTATTGCTCTTCTATTATTTATGCTGTGCACATGTACACAACTTAAAGTGAGAACAAGATGAGACATCTCAATCTCTCTTTCAAAGGTGGAGCATTATATTTGAAGATGGACAAGTATGATGTATTTCTATAGATCAGTTTAATACTTTCCTTAACTGATCTCTGGAATGAATGTCATTCCAGATATTCAATGACCCAATCCATGGCCATGTGGAGTTGCACCCGCTGTGTGTGAAGATCATTGACACACCGCAGTTCCAGAGACTCCGATTCATCAAACAACTTGGAGCTTGTTATTTTGTCTTCCCCGGAGCAGCACACAACAGATTTGAACACAGTATTGGGTAAGGTTTGATTTGAACATATTATGGAGTTACGTTTGATTTGAACATAATATAGGGTAATGTTTGATTTGAACATTGCATAGGGTAATGTTTGATTTGAACATAGCGTAAGGTAGGGTCAGGATGATGATAATGATAGGCTTGATTTGTATTAATTTCATCTCTATTTAAGTATTTTAACATGTATCCCTTGTCAATATGTTTCAATGTTTTTCAGCTGGGTAACATGTTTCTGTATTTCCTCCTGGGTAACATGTTTCCGTATTTCCTCCTGGGTAACATGTTTCCGTATTTCCTCCTTGGTAACATGTTTCTGTATTTCCTCCTTGGTAACATGTTTCAGTATTTCCTCCTTGGTAACATGTTTCAGTATTTCCTCCTTGGTAACATGTTTCAGTATTTCTTCCTGGGTAACATGTTTCAGTATTTCTACTAAAATTAAGCAGTTATGTTTGTCCTATCCCCAATTTAATGATTATGGTCATTTTTTTCCACGTATTATTCACACGCATAAAATATCACGAAGAGCAAATTCTAAATGCACCGGTGACATTAAGCATTCTACAGCGAGACCGAACTGACCAATGAGAGCCCTACTTTCAATTCATTTCGTGTGAAAAAATCCATTACTCAGTGATACAAGGTCTCTGATTGGTTGTTATGTTAAAACACACTCAAGTCATTTTATCTATCGACCATTGCAGGTTCAGACAGGGATCTAATTGCATGTACATATTACTTCAGAGCTCCAAACACCACATTGTCTTCCTTAAAAATATGAATTAGTGTCATATGATATATTTTATGACGTGTGGACCACATGTTTCACTAAGGCCTAACATATATGTAAAAAGAAAAACTTGCATCATGAAACTGTTGCCATCCATCTTTTTCACATGAAATTACACTTTTTAACCCACTGCTTACTCCAAAGCTTCATCAAGGGTTGGCATCTCTGCACCTGTGTAACATGTTTCAGTGTTTGCCACCTGGCTGGGCAGCTGACACGGACACTGCAGCGACGACAGCCTGAACTGATGATCAGCGATGAAGATATTTTGTGTGTGGAGATCGCAGGGCTGTGTCATGATCTTGGTATGCTATGTGATGCAAGGCATGATTGATAACTTCTGAGCCTGACATGGAAAGTATTGGGGAATAGTGAAATCTTTTGTTGTGGACTTTACATGGTGTCCTAGAGGTATATCCACAAAAACAAATTGTTTGCTGTGACAAGTCATTGAGAAAGCAGGATCTGTAACCTTGGGAAAACGGACACACTTGAGGAACTTGCAGTGATTAAGCACTTGCAGAAAAACACCAAAAGCTATCCAAGATATGAGTGCAACACTAGGAAAGGATGCCCCTTCCTATGCTATTGTCAAGAGGTGGGCAGCAGAGTTTAAGTATGGCAGGGAGAGCCTTGAAGGTGAACCCCATCCCGGAAGGCCTTTGACTTCATGTAGAGAATCTGACTGGCGAAATGACTGAACATTTCCCAGTAGAAAGTTTTTCATCACAGAAACTTTGGCAATGAAGAAAGTATGCACCAGGCACAACATGTCTTGTGATAGTTTAGCTCTGCTTGAAGCTGATCCAGAAAGGTTCTTGCAGCGATTTATGACTATGGATTAATCCTGGGTGCACCATTTCTAGCCAGAGTTTAAACAACAATCAAAACAGGGGCTGCATTTGCTGTCACCACCACCAAAGAAGCCAAAGACTGTCCATTGCTGGAAAGGTTATCATGGGTATTGTCTCTGTGTTCTGGGATTCTGAGGGTGTCATTTGTGTTGGCCCAGGAGAGCCTTATTGGGTTTTTAGGTGGAAAACTCATTATGGCTCTCCCGGGACACAAGTCATTGTCACAGGAATTGGCGCTCCCAGTACCAGGCAAATAAAACTAAAACAAAGGAGTACCACTCTTCAATTTCATTTCCATAGTTAATATTTAATTAATGCATGCTATGTTAAAATGTTTAACATATTAAAATGTACATATTGATATCAATGTTGAGTCCAAGTGAAGTAGTTCTGACTCTGCTGAAATCAATATTAAAACATCATGATATGATAAGAGGCAAATTATGATTGCATTTTTCCTGGGATTATCTGATATTCAAATGTGGCGTTCCCGGCTCATAACCTTGCCATCATGGTGGACGATCTTCCTATAGGCCAGATAATTAATGGAGCCTGTTATGTGACACCTTTAAGGCAACTATATCATGAAATTAAGATTAAGAGATAAATTGAGAAAAGGTGTGCTCTTGCATCAGAACAAATCAGTCACTCTCATGGTTACAATCCATGAGCGTGGCTTTGAATTCCTTTTGCACCCACCTTATTCTCCCGATCTGGCTCCATCAGACTTCCATCTGTTCCTAAACATGAAGAAAGCTCTACCTGGGACACGTTTTGACTCAAATGATGACGTCATAGCAGATGTGGAGAACGTTTTGGACAGACAAGAGAGGCTATGAAACTGAAAATTCCTCCAACAAAAGCGTATCACTGTGGAAGGGGATTATGTTACTTTAATTTCTTTAAGTCATGTCATTCCATGTGAGGCTCAGAACGTATCAATCACTTCTCTTAAAGCTGGAGTTATATCTGAGATAGTTTCCGTATGCCAAGTTTGACAGTTATTGTCGTTTGTTTTGAGGACTGAATGTTCATGAAGGTGCAGTCACAGGAATCTATTCTTTACTCTGTAACAAATGGTTTCAGGATAAAGCAAGGCTCTGTGTCAGTAGACAGACCTGCATGAGTATTCATGATTATTTGAGAGTGGCTTCACATGTGGGTCAGCTATATTATGTGTATGGGTACATCATGTTTTTCAGATATATTAATGATGTTATTTAATTTCACTAATGAAAGAGATTTGTTTTGCCATTTCTTACAGGACATGGTCCCTTCTCACACCTGTTTGATGGGGAGTTTATTCCACTCACTTCAGGGGCAAAGTGGAAGGTAAGTAATAGATAAGTCACCGTGTGACTCACTCCCAACCTTAAACACCCTGTACTGATGGCATACTGTTGTCAGAAGTGCAGAGTTGTGTCCCTTTGCTATGGTAAGCTCTCTTATTGTGAGTTTGAACAACCCCAGCTATTATCCTGTGACAGAACACATCATTGGTAGGTGTCATCAAAGTAGTAAACATCTACTCCCTTTGGGCTTTTCACACACATTAAGTTGACATACTGTGACATTTACCAAACTCATTTTCTCTCAACTACACTTTTTGTTGTTTCAACGCCACAATAAGCAATTTTCCAGCTTCATTACATTGCTCAGTAAAAATCAAGTTGATGCCTGACAATCCAGTGATTGACATCAAGAGCATCGATCCATGCTGTGAGATGTTACTGAGTGAGATGTTACTGAGGTGTTACCGAGTGAGATGTTACCGAGTGAGATGTTACCGAGTGAGATGTTACTGGATGAGATGTTACAGAGTGAGATGTTACCAGGTGAGATGTTACTGGGTGAAATGTAACTGTGTGAGATGTTACCGGGTGAGATGTTACTGGGCGAGATGTTACAGAGTGAGATGTTACTGGGCGAGATGTTACAGAGTGAGATGTTACTGGGCAAGATGTTACTGGATGAGATGTTACAGAGTGAGATGTTACCAGGTGAGATGTTACTGGGTGAGATGTTACCGGGTGAGATGTTACTGGGGGAGATGTTACAGAGTGAGATGTTACTGGGTGAGAAGTAACTGGGTGAGATGTTACCGGGTGAGATGTTACTGGGCGAGATGTTACAGAGTGAGATGTTACTGGGCAAGATGTTACTGGATGAGATGTTACAGAGTGAGATGTTACCAGGTGAGATGTTACTGGGTGAGATGTAACTGTGTGAGATGTTGCCAGGTGAGATGTTATTGGGCGAGATGTTGCTTGGTGAGATGTTACTGGGTGAGATGTTGCCAGGTGAGATGTTACTGGGTGAGATGTTGCCAGGTGAGATGTTACTGGGTGAGATGTTGCCAGGTGAGATATTACCATAGTGTCTTAAAAAAAAATGTACTCATGAATACCATTGAAGCAGTGACATTTTGAAATTGATAAGTTATTGTATTCTGAATGAGAATGTTGTTTCTGCTGTAGCATGAAGACGCATCTGTGAAAATGTTTGATCATCTGGTTCAGGAGAACAACCTGGAAGCTGTATTTTCGGAGTTTGGCTTGACTGACACTGACCGCATCTTTATCAAGGAACAGATCAAGGGTCCCCCGAGAGAGAGGCTCACGCAAACAGTTGAGTTTGAAAGAATAGAATACAGTATTTGAACAAACAAAATTCACTTAGAAAATGGAAACATATTATCTCATGGGTGCTGCAACTCACTGTGCAGATTGTACCTTGGTTTAGTAATGGGTTTGACTCCGAGGTGAGATCTGATTATGATCGTTGGTTTGTTTCATACCATGCACACTTTTCACCATAGTGGTAAGATCTACACCTTGCATCACTTTGGGCTTTCCTCTTGCATGAAGTTGACTGCACAATGTAAGTGGAAACTATTCAAAGCAGTGTAAAATGTAAACACAATATGCAATGTTATACTAACAGCAGAAAGAATATGTTGTTATTCTGTAGCATGTATGGACAAATATTTGTTGTCAGGGTGATACTCTTACCTAGTAAATACTGCTGTGAACAGCAAATAAGATATGAATTTATTTCTATTGAAAATCATTCTTAACCGATACAGGCATGTGCATCTAGTCATAGTACCTCCAGTATAGGGGTGTGTCCTGGGTGGCCCAGTCGTCTAAGGTGCCACAATCCACTGTGCAGAGTTGTGTCTCCTGGGCGTGCCAGAAATCTGTGACTGTAGGTTTGAATCCTGGTTTGCCCTGATTATGTTTCCAGGTTTGAGAGCACCATACCTGTGCTCATGAGTTTTCCGAAGTAGTAATTGTGTGAGACATGCATCACTTTGTGCTTTCCTCCCACATTATGCTGACACGCAGTGATATCCCTGGAATATACTTTTCAAAGCAGCCTTAAGCCCAACTCACTCACTCGATTAAAGACATGACACTTTATTTTTATTACAGTAATGCTGTCTGCATTGTAAACTAACTGAGAAAGTAACTTGTATCATTTTGCAATATTTCAGGATTATCCTTACCAAGGAAGAAGCAAAGAAAAAAGGTTCTTGTATGAAGTAAGTAAATCTTTCGTCCATCATATCCATAGCTTCATGGAGTAGCCTACTGGTTAAAACATTCACTTGTCATGCCGAACATCAACATTAGCATGGCTCTTTGGCAGTCTTGGAATGGTGTGGCTTCTATGTCTGTAGAGGGCGCTGTCAAGGGATGAATATGATGGAAGTGAAGGTGGGTCCTGTGGAGGGTTGGCATGGGCAGGGCCGGTTCTCCTCGGGCTCATTTCCTCATTGTGTTGATGAACTTGGCACGTATTGTGTCTGCTGGCGGATGGCAGTGTTCACTGTGACTCCTCACAATGTCCCTGTACATGTCTTAATTGCGCATCTCCAGTGAACACATAATGTCCTTATATTGTTCTTGCTGTGGAGGTGTTGTTGAAATAGTACTTTTGGCGTACCACTCTGCGAGGTCTTTATTTACATGATCTTTATTCTAGAGAGGATAATGTCTATTAGGACTAGTCCATTAGCACAACAGGTAAATCCCATATGTTTTGACAAGCCATCTCTATCCCACAGTCTAACAACTAGGGTGCCTGACAACTGGGGTGACTGACAACTGGGGTGACTGACAACTGACAACTGGGGTGACTGACGACTGGGGTGACTGACAACTGACAACTGGAGTGACTGACAACTGCGGTGACTGACAACTGACGACTGGGGTGACTGACAACTGACAACTGGGGTGACTGACAACTGGGGTGACTGACAACTGGGGTGTCTGACAACTGGGGTGACTGACAACTGGGGTGACTGACAACTGACAACTGGGGTGACTGACAACTGACAACTGGGGTGACTGACGACTGGGGTGACTGACAACTGACAACTGGGGTGACTGACAACTGACAACTGGGGTGACTGACAACTGACAACTGGGGTGACTGACAACTGGGGTGACTGACAACTGACAACTGGGGTGACTGACAACTGGGGTGACTGACAACTGGGGTGACTGACGACTGGGGTGACTGACAACTGACAACTGGGGTGACTGACAACTGGGGTGACTGACAACTGGGGTGACTGACGACTGGGGTGACTGACAACTGACAACTGGGGTGACTGACGACTGGGGTGTCTGACAACTGACAACTGGGGTGTCTGACGACTGGGATGACTGACAACTGGGGTGACTGACAACTGACAACTGGGGTGTCTGACAACTGGGGTGACTGACAACTGGGGTGACTGACAACTGACAACTGGGGTGTCTGACAACTGACAACTGGGGTGTCTGACAACTGGGATGACTGACAACTGGGGTGACTGACAACTGACAACTGGGGTGTCTGACAACTGACAACTGGGGTGACTGACAACTGACAACTGGGGTGACTGACAACTGACAACTGGGGTGTCTGACAACTGGGATGACTGACAACTGGGGTGACTGACAACTGACAACTGGGGTGACTGACAACTGGGGTGACTGACAACTGACAACTGGGGTGTCTGACAACTGACAACTGGGGTGACTGACAACTGACAACTGGGGTGTCTGACAACTGAGAACTGGGGTGACTGACAACTGACAACTGGGGTGTCTGACAACTGGGATGACTGACAACTGGGGTGACTGACAACTGGGATGACTGACAACTGGGGTGACTGACAACTGACAACTGGGGTGTCTGACGACTGGGGTGTCTGACAACTGGGGTGTCTGACAACTGACAACTGGGGTGTCTGACAACTGGGGTGTCTGACAACTGACAACTGGGGTGTCTGACGACTGGGATGACTGACAACTGGGGTGACTGACAACTGACAACTGGGGTGTCTGACAACTGGGGTGACTGACAACTGACAACTGGGGTGACTGACAACTGACAACTGGGGTGACTGACAACTGACAACTGGGGTGACTGACAACTGACAACTGGGGTGACTGACAACTGGGATGACTGACAACTGACGACTGGGGTGACTGACAACTGACAACTGGGGTGACTGACAACTGACAACTGGGGTGACTGACAACTGGGGTGACTGACAACTGGGGTGACTGACAACTGGGGTGACTGACAACTGACAACTGGGGTGACTGACAACTGGGGTGACTGACAACTGGGGTGACTGACAACTGACAACTGGGGTTACTGACAACTGGGGAGACTGACAACTGACAACTGGGGTGACTGACAACTGGGGTGACTGACAACTGACAACTGGGGTGACTGACAACTGACAACTGGGATGACTGACAACTGACAACTGGGGTTACCGACAACTGGGGTGACTGACAACTGGGGTGACTGACAACTGACAACTGGGGTGACTGACAACTGACAACTGGGGTGACTGACAACTGACAACTGGGGTTACTGACAACTGGGGTGACTGACAACTGACAACTGGGGTGACTGACAACTGGGGTGACTGACAACTGACAACTGGGGTGACTGACAACTGACAACTGGGGTGTCTGACAACTGACAACTGGGGTGTCTGACAACTGACAACTGGGGTGACTGACAACTGACAACTGACAACTGGGGTGACTGACAACTGACAACTGGGGTGACTGACAACTGACAACTGGGGTGACTGACAACTGGGGTGACTGACAACTGACAACTGGGGTGACTGACAACTGACAACTGGGGTGTCTGACAACTGACAACTGGGGTGTCTGACAACTGACAACTGGGGTGACTGACAACTGACAACTGGGGTGACTGACAACTGACAACTGGGGTGTCTGACAACTGGGGTGACTGACAACTGACAACTGGGGTGACTGACAACTGACAACTGGGGTGACTGACAACTGACAACTGGGGTGACTGACAACTGACAACTGGGGTGACTGACAACTGGGGTGACTGACAACTGACGACTGGGGTGACTGACAACTGACAACTGGGGTGACTGACAACTGACAACTGGGGTGACTGACAACTGGGGTGACTGACAACTGGGGTGACTGACAACTGACAACTGGGGTGACTGACAACTGACAACTGGGGTTACTGACAACTGGGGTGACTGACAACTGACAACTGGGGTGACTGACAACTGGGGTGACTGACAACTGGGGTGACTGACAACTGACAACTGGGGTGACTGACAACTGACAACTGGGGTTACTGACAACTGGGGAGACTGACAACTGACAACTGGGGTGACTGACAACTGGGGTGACTGACAACTGGGATAACTGACAACTGACAACTGGGGTGACTGACAACTGACAACTGGGATGACTGACAACTGACAACTGGGGTTACTGACAACTGGGGAGACTGACAACTGACAACTGGGGTGACTGACAACTGGGGTTACTGACAACTGGGGAGACTGACAACTGACAACTGGGGTTACTGACAACTGGGGTTACTGACAACTGGGGAGACTGACAACTGACAACTGGGGTGACTGACAACTGGGGTTACTGACAACTGGGGAGACTGACAACTGACAACTGGGGTTACTGACAACTGGGGTTACTGACAACTGGGGAGACTGACAACTGACAACTGGGGTGACTGACAACTGGGGTTACTGACAACTGGGGAGACTGACAACTGACAACTGGGGTTACTGACAACTGGGGTTACTGACAACTGGGGTGACTGACAACTGACAACTGGGGTGACTGACAACTGGGGTGACTGACAACTGGGGTGACTGACAACTGACAACTGGGGTGACTGACAACTGACAACTGGGGTTACTGACAACTGGGGAGACTGACAACTGACAACTGGGGTGACTGACAACTGGGGTGACTGACAACTGGGGTGACTGACAACTGGGGTGACTGACAACTGACAACTGGGATGACTGACAACTGACAACTGGGGTGACTGACAACTGACAACTGGGGTGACTGACAACTGACAACTGGGGTTACTGACAACTGGGGTGACTGACAACTGGGGTGACTGACAACTGACAACTGGGGTGACTGACAACTGACAACTGGGGTGACTGACAACTGACAACTGGGGTGTCTGACAACTGACAACTGGGGTGTCTGACAACTGACAACTGGGGTGACTGACAACTGACAACTGGGGTGACTGACAACTGACAACTGGGGTGACTGACAACTGACAACTGGGGTGACTGACAACTGACAACTGGGGTGACTGACAACTGGGGTGACTGACAACTGACAACTGGGGTGACTGACAACTGACAACTGGGGTGTCTGACAACTGACAACTGGGGTGTCTGACAACTGACAACTGGGGTGACTGACAACTGACAACTGGGGTGACTGACAACTGACAACTGGGGTGTCTGACAACTGGGGTGACTGACAACTGACAACTGGGGTGACTGACAACTGACAACTGGGGTGACTGACAACTGACAACTGGGGTGACTGACAACTGACAACTGGGGTGACTGACAACTGGGGTGACTGACAACTGACGACTGGGGTGACTGACAACTGACAACTGGGGTGACTGACAACTGACAACTGGGGTGACTGACAACTGGGGTGACTGACAACTGGGGTGACTGACAACTGACAACTGGGGTGACTGACAACTGACAACTGGGGTTACTGACAACTGGGGTGACTGACAACTGACAACTGGGGTGACTGACAACTGGGGTGACTGACAACTGGGGTGACTGACAACTGACAACTGGGGTGACTGACAACTGACAACTGGGGTTACTGACAACTGGGGAGACTGACAACTGACAACTGGGGTGACTGACAACTGGGGTGACTGACAACTGGGGTGACTGACAACTGGGATAACTGACAACTGACAACTGGGGTGACTGACAACTGACAACTGGGATGACTGACAACTGACAACTGGGGTTACTGACAACTGGGGAGACTGACAACTGACAACTGGGGTGACTGACAACTGGGGTTACTGACAACTGGGGAGACTGACAACTGACAACTGGGGTTACTGACAACTGGGGTTACTGACAACTGGGGAGACTGACAACTGACAACTGGGGTGACTGACAACTGGGGTTACTGACAACTGGGGAGACTGACAACTGACAACTGGGGTTACTGACAACTGGGGTTACTGACAACTGGGGAGACTGACAACTGACAACTGGGGTGACTGACAACTGGGGTTACTGACAACTGGGGAGACTGACAACTGACAACTGGGGTTACTGACAACTGGGGTTACTGACAACTGGGGTGACTGACAACTGACAACTGGGGTGACTGACAACTGGGGTGACTGACAACTGGGGTGACTGACAACTGACAACTGGGGTGACTGACAACTGACAACTGGGGTTACTGACAACTGGGGAGACTGACAACTGACAACTGGGGTGACTGACAACTGGGGTGACTGACAACTGGGGTGACTGACAACTGGGGTGACTGACAACTGACAACTGGGATGACTGACAACTGACAACTGGGGTGACTGACAACTGACAACTGGGGTGACTGACAACTGACAACTGGGGTTACTGACAACTGGGGTGACTGACAACTGGGGTGACTGACAACTGACAACTGGGGTGACTGACAACTGACAACTGGGGTGACTGACAACTGACAACTGGGGTGACTGACAACTGACAACTGGGGTGACTGACAACTGACAACTGGGGTGACTGACAACTGACAACTGGGGTGACTGACAACTGACAACTGGGGTTACTGACAACTGGGGTGACTGACAACTGACAACTGGGGTTACTGACAACTGGGGTGACTGACAACTGACAACTGGGGTGACTGACAACTGACAACTGGGGTTACTGACAACTGGGGTGACTGACAACTGGGGTGACTGACAACTGACAACTGGGGTGACTGACAACTGACAACTGGGGTGACTGACAACTGGGGTGACTGACAACTGGGGTGACTGACAACTGACAACTGGGGTTACTGACAACTGGGGAGACTGACAACTGACAACTGGGGTGACTGACAACTGGGGTGACTGACAACTGACAACTGGGGTGACTGACAACTGACAACTGGGGTGTCTGACAACTGACAACTGGGGTGTCTGACAACTGACAACTGGGGTGACTGACAACTGACAACTGGGGTGACTGACAACTGACAACTGGGGTGTCTGACAACTGGGGTGACTGACAACTGACAACTGGGGTGACTGACAACTGACAACTGGGGTGACTGACAACTGACAACTGGGGTGTCTGACAACTGAGAACTGGGGTGACTGACAACTGGGGTGACTGACAACTGACGACTGGGGTGACTGACAACTGACAACTGGGGTGACTGACAACTGGGGTGACTGACAACTGACAACTGGGGTGACTGACAACTGGGGTGACTGACAACTGACGACTGGGGTGACTGACAACTGGGGTGACTGACAACTGACAACTGGGGTGACTGACAACTGGGGTGACTGACAACTGACGACTGGGGTGACTGACAACTGACAACTGGGGTGACTGACAACTGGGGTGACTGACAACTGGGGTGACTGACAACTGGGGTGACTGACAACTGGGGTGACTGACAACTGGGGTGACTGACAACTGGGTGACTGACAACTGACAACTGGGGTGACTGACAACTGGGGTGACTGACAACTGACAACTGGGGTGACTGACAACTGGGGTGACTGACAACTGACAACTGGGGTGACTGACAACTGACAACTGGGGTGACTGACAACTGGGGTGACTGACAACTGGGGTGACTGACAACTGACAACTGGGGTGACTGACAACTGACAACTGGGGTTACTGACAACTGGGGAGACTGACAACTGACAACTGGGGTGACTGACAACTGGGGTGACTGACAACTGGGGTGACTGACAACTGACAACTGGGGTGACTGACAACTGACAACTGGGATGACTGACAACTGACAACTGGGGTTACTGACAACTGGGGTGACTGACAACTGACAACTGGGGTGACTGACAACTGGGGTGACTGACAACTGGGGTGACTGACAACTGACAACTGGGGTGACTGACAACTGACAACTGGGGTGACTGACAACTGACAACTGGGGTGACTGACAACTGGGGTGACTGACAACTGGGGTGACTGACAACTGGGGTGACTGACAACTGGGGTGTCTGACAACTGGGGTGTCTGACAACTGACAACTGGGGTGTCTGACAACTCGGGTATGATGTTTTAGCCTGACAACCATGACTCTACCTAACCTATTGACCACTGATTAAGCTTTACATTTTTCTATAGCGAGTATCATGTCGTGGGCATCATTCCACAAAGTGATTTTAGCCCTTAGGCTACACTAATGCCCATTCTCTAACATAGACATTAAAACAGTTTAAAGGAACAGGCCTGGGTTAACTTCCTGGGATTGTAAAGCAGTCTTGATGTATAGTTTTCTGCAGTGACGTGATTGAACTGTGTTGATTGTATGTTTCATTTTCCAGATTGTGGCCAACAAGAGAAATGGCATAGATGTTGACAAGTGGGACTACTTCGCACGAGATTGCTACATGCTAGGCATTAAGAACAATTTTGATCACAACCGCTTCATGAAGTTTTCTCGGGTCATCTGTGTTGAGGGCGTGATGCAAATCTGTGCTCGGGACAAGGTTTGTAATACTGACATCAATGTATGCATACAGTCCTGTGGTGTTTAAGGCAGAATAGGTTTTCAGTACCACATGCTTGTCTCCCCAAGAGGTTTCAAGGGCAGAATAGATTTTCAGTACCACATGCTTGTCTTACGAAGAGGTTTCAAGGGCAGAATAGGTTTTCAGTACCACATGCTTGTCTTACGAAGAGGTTTCAAGGGCAGAATAGGTTTTCAGTACCACATGCTTGTCTCCCCAAGAGGTTTCAAGGTCAGAATAGATTTTCAGTACCACATGCTTGTCTTACGAAGAGGTTTCAAGGGCAGAATAGGTTTTCAGTACCACATGCTTGTCTTACGAAGAGGTTTCAAGGGCAGAATAGGTTTTCAGTACCACATGCTTGTCTCCCCAAGAGGTTTCAAGGGCAGAATAGGTTTTCAGTACCACATGCTTGTCTTACGAAGAGGTTTCAAGGGCAGAATAGGTTTTCAGTACCACATGCTTGTCTTACGAAGATGTTTCAAGGGCAGAATAGGTTTTCAGTACCACATGCTTGTCTTACGAAGATGTTTCAAGGGCAGAATAGGTTTTCAGTACCACATGCTTGTCTTACGAAGAGGTTTCAAGGGCAGAATAGGTTTTCAGTGCCCCATGCTTGTCTTACGAAGAGGTTTCAAGGGCAGAATAGGTTTTCAGTGCCACATGCTTGTCTCCCCAAGAGGTTTCAAGGGCAGAATAGATTTTCAGTACCACATGCTTGTCTTACGAAGAGGTTTCAAGGGCAGAATAGGTTTTCAGTACCACATGCTTGTCTCCCCAAGAGGTTTCAAGGGCAGAATAGATTTTCAGTACCACATGCTTGTCTTACGAAGAGGTTTCAAGGGCAGAATAGGTTTTCAGTACCACATGCTTGTCTCCCCAAGAGGTTTCAAGGGCAGAATAGATTTTCAGTACCACATGCTTGTCTTACGAAGAGGTTTCAAGGGCAGAATAGGTTTTCAGTACCACATGCTTGTCTCCCCAAGAGGTTTCAAGGGCAGAATAGGTTTTCAGTACCACATGCTTGTCTTACGAAGATGTTTCAAGGGCAGAATAGGTTTTCAGTACCACATGCTTGTCTTACGAAGAGGTTTCAAGGGCAGAATAGGTTTTCAGTGCCCCATGCTTGTCTTACGAAGAGGTTTCAAGGGCAGAATAGGTTTTCAGTGCCACATGCTTGTCTCCCCAAGAGGTTTCAAGGGCAGAATAGATTTTCAGTACCACATGCTTGTCTTACGAAGAGGTTTCAAGGGCAGAATAGGTTTTCAGTACCACATGCTTGTCTCCCCAAGAGGTTTCAAGGGCAGAATAGATTTTCAGTACCACATGCTTGTCTTACGAAGAGGTTTCAAGGTCAGAATAGATTTTCAGTACCACATGCTTGTCTTACGAAGAGGTTTCAAGGGCAGAATAGGTTTTCAGTACCACATGCTTGTCTCCCCAAGAGGTTTCAAGGGCAGAATAGGTTTTCAGTACCACATGCTTGTCTTACGAAGATGTTTCAAGGGCAGAATAGGTTTTCAGTACCACATGCTTGTCTCCCCAAGAGGTTTCAAGGGCAGAATAGGTTTTCAGTACCACATGCTTGTCTTACGAAGAGGTTTCAAGGGCAGAATAGGTTTTCAGTGCCCCATGCTTGTCTTACGAAGAGGTTTCAAGGGCAGAATAGGTTTTCAGTGCCCCATGCTTGTCTTACGAAGAGGGTTACAGGGCAAAATTGGTTTTGAGTACCCCATTCTTGTCTTCACAATAGTATTACTTGGTTGAATTGGTCTTCATTACCCAATGCTTGTCTCCCCTTGAAGATTCCGGTACAGAATTTGTCTTTAGTACCCCATTCTTGTCTCTCCATGAGGATTCTGGTACAGAATAGATCTTCCTCACCCCTTGTGGCGTATGTTGTTGCTCATGCTGTCATCCATTAATTTGCCTGCCTCAGATTTAAGTTTGCCCTTCAATTTCAGTACAGTTACAGCGTTAGAAATTGGCACTAGTCCTATAATCCTTACCAAACTGCCCAATAGTAAAGGTATCCTAAGGACTAGTAGAAATTGGCCCATTTTAAGGGGTTTGCTACATATGTTATCATTATAAGGACTTGTGGACAAAAACTGTTAGTTTCTAACCCTGCTCAGTTTATGAATTTTGGTGTAAATTCAATGTTTTTTCACCATGTACTTCCTGACCAAATCTCAATATTCTAACAGATTTATAAACTGTACTTGTTGTGACCTCCAGGAAGCGAGTTCGCTGTATGATATGTTCCATACTCGGAGCTCGCTGCATCGCCGGGCCTACCAACACCGCTGCAACAAGATCGTGGATGCCATGTGAGTACTGCATCAAAACACGTCTCCCAAAATATTCAACTGCTTAAGCATAGACTTGCCATTTTGTTAACAGAACATTAATTCAGGTTTCATGAAACGACAAAGTTTTACCCTAGTTGATCAGAGAACCCTTCCCCAATGTTAGCATTATCAAATCGTGTGTATAGTCAGTGATAACATCGTGATGACCCTCCACCCCCAAAACAATTCTGGGTTAGAATTGGTCCCCAGCAATCTATGCTGGTGTCGTAAAATGTAACCAAATGGATCGGGTGATGACTTGGTTGATTGTGTGTCATCATGCCCTTACAACGTGAATCATTGCTCACAATATTAATCACTTGGTTGTCTGGCCCAGATTTTTTACAAGACGACATCAATTAGGCTTAAAAAAATATAAAAACTGGTTCTCAGGCAATGGCTTTTAAAAATATACTGCAGGCTGGCTATTATTTTTTTAGCCTTAACTGGAATATTGTTGTTGGTGTTGGGGTGTGGATATGTTTCTGTGTGTGTGTTTTAGGGGGTAAGGTTAAAACAATCAACAAACCATATGATGTGTTAATCACTAGGGGTAACTGTGCAGCGATTCGCTGTGTAGAGTTACATCCCTTGGGCATGCCAGAATCCTATGATTGTGGGTTCAAATCCCGGTTCGCCCCGATTATGTTTCTAGGTTTGTCAGCCCCGTGCTTGTGGGTTTCAGTGAAGTGGAAACCATTTGACACCTGCATCACTTCGGGCTTTCCTCCCACATTAAGCTGATACGCCGTGATATAACTGGAATACTGTTAAAAGCGGCGTTTAAACACAACTCACTCACTCACTAGAGGTGACTTGGAGCGTCATTGCACTCATTTGCCAAGTTAACAGATTTATGTGGCTTTTTACTGCATGGTGGTTCTTCTACAGCTTGACATCTATGGTTTACAGGAATAGTTAGGAATATTCCCTCAGTTTCTAGCATTTCTCATTGCAGGTTGGTGGCAGCGATGATCAAGGCTAACGATCATATCAAGATACCGGGAGCCAATGGGTAAGGTTTTCATAATCCACTTTTGAATAAGTGACAGTACATTCAACAGAGGTAATACATTCTTTTCTGTTTCAGTAGGTCGGTGGCATTATTTATAAGATACAGAAGTTGATGTGTAAAATAAGGAAGGGTTGTGTCCGGTTAGAACAAACTAGTTGAGAAAAAGTTGATTATGATGGCTCCAACCCATTCTATTGATCATCTGCTGTCATGGGGTTGCGATATGATACGTATACCAATACCATGGTGCGGTATGATTCATATCCAGATACGACCTGTGAAGATTCCGGGGTAGAATAGGTCTTCAGCAACCCATACTTGTCGTAAAATGTGACTAACGAGATCGGGTGGTCAGGCTCGCTGACCTGGTTGATACATGTCATCGATCCCAACTGCTTGGATCGATGCTCATGATGTCAATCACTGGATTGTCTGGTCAATACTCGATTATTTTACAGACGGACGTCATATAGCTGGAATATTGCTGAGTGCGGCGTTAAACAACAAACAAACAAACATATCCAGTTACAGTACTTTGATTTAATAAGTTGATATTTTTTTGGCAGGTGAGTCACAGCCTAATTTGTTTTAAAATTTCAGAGATTAAAGATGACATATTGTAGGGTAGAAAAATATAGGCTAGAGGAGACTTTGAATGTTATGCCAACATAAGAAAGCTGAGGAATCTGCGGAAACTGGTTGTTGAACAGTTTCTTGTTCTTCTTGTCATCATGTTTTTGCACCAGTGAAACATTTTATTACGATGCAGGGCCGTGGGATACAATACTGTATTGCCATATCATTACACCACTAATAATTGAAGTCTGTTTATGTTGCAGTTCAATGCTGAAGATGTCTGAATGTATCGAGGACATGGTGGCGTACACACACCTCACTGACCATATCCTAAACCAGATCATGCTCTCCACCGAGCCCGAACTGGAGGAGTCTCGTAACATCATCAACAACATCATGTGCCGCAAGCTGTATAAGTGTGTTGGGCAGAGTCAGCCAAGCCCAGGCCAAATCATCAGTGAGGTTAGGCATACTTGTAGATTCTAATGGTAGCATCTTTACATCTCCTTTGTGTCGAATAGGACATTGTCAAGACTTCACAGGTTTGGATACACTACGTTCCTCCATCACCCTTGAATACATATGGCCGCTTTGTGATGGTGCTATCTTTGACCAACCATACATCGCCAATATTTCTCATGCAACATGAACCATAGCCATCTATGCTACCCTGCTGTAATATCAGGCAAGGGTAGGGTTCACACAGTTCAGAGAAGGACAAGTTTTAATTCAGTGAGTTGGACATGGTCTCACTTCATTATTTCACTCAAAGTATGCATGCATTACCATTATGCTGCGTAGAGGTCATACATGTGATTCACACCCGTGAAGATCTGGGGTGGAACAGGTCTTCAGCAACCTGTGCTTGCCGCAAAAGGCGTTGTTGCTTGTCATAATGGGATCGAGTGGTCAGGTCCGCTGACTTGGTTGATACATGTTATCATATCCAAATTGCGTGGATCGATGCTCATGATGTCAATCACAGGATTGTATGGTCCAGACTTGATTTTTTACACACCGCCGTCATATAGCTTGAAAACAAACAAACAAACAAACAAACAAACAAACGTGATTCACAGGTGATGAAGGAACAAGTGTATACATACCCATGAAGTATTGATGGTGGAACTCAAAGAGCTATGGAGACTGTTGTAGTCTAGATTTATTTAAGACCTTGATGCAGTGTCCAAATGGGTGACTTACCCATGTTGTGTCTGATTTGCACCAAAGGGTTTTAATTCAATCCTTTATCTGTTCACTCATGCTCATGGGTTTCACCGAAGTTGTAAACATCTATCACTTTGGGCTTTCTCATATCTTGCTGACCATCCTACAGGGTTTTACGTGATGCAGAATTGTGTCCAGTACGCACAAATGTGTATAATTGATGCAGAAAAAAATATTTTGTGTCCCGTAACAGGGCTCAATTTAGCTATATAAAACATGTACCAGTGTTGCCTATTATGTAATGTACAACCTAATATTTATGTCTAGATGCACCAGTTGCATGTGAATGATAATGAAATTTGAGTTGGACTAACCCTTATATGCAACAATGATCTTTGAACACACTCAATATTGCTAAAGTTTGTGTACCATACTACATCTCTCATCCCTGTGTCACTTGTAATTTGTCATGGTTTCTCGGGATTGACATAATCAAACTGTGAGTATTTCAAGGTTATGTGCACATGTTCCCCAGCCATTACGTTTTACAGCAATATTGTCATTAATTTATGTAATCTCATGACACAGTCATCAGAGAGCTGAGATCTTAGTTATTTAGACTAGTTCATGCATTGATATCTCAACCTGGTTTTGTCTGGTGCAGCTCAGTTTTAATGTCAACATGCAACTGGTGCAGGTTAAATCAAGTTCCTTAAATTGATCCCTGCGTAACAATGATATTCATGGTACCAAATCCTTGATAAGATATATAAAGGTCCTGTAATAAATTTTTTATCAATTTTTAGCGATATTTGCTAATATATTGGCTAGTGAACAATCCCAATTAGAACCCTTCCGATTGATCAATGTACACAAGATTTATTTATTAGAGTATACTAAACACTTGTGTGTTATATCTTATATACACCCTTAATTATATGCAATTCAATTCTGGAAAAATATATCTGTTGTACATAAAAACTTCAGACTGTCAGCATAAACCACGAAATTTATCCTTTAACTTTGTTTTTTTTCACCAAAATAATATTTATAATAAGAGCCCCCTATTTTTGAGAGGGGGCGGTCTGGTAGCCTAGTGGTTAAAGTGTTTGCTTGTCATGCCAAAGACCCGGGTTTGATTCCTGACATGGGTACAATGTGTGAAGCCCATTTCTGGTGTCCCCCACCGTGATATTGCTTGAATATTGCTAAAAGCGGTGTAAAACCATACTTACTCACACTAATTTTGAGAGCTTATTACGTCGATTACGGTATGTACTATCACTTGACCTCTGTTACTCAGAGGATGTATAAAATGACTTTTTCTGAAATCCAGGAAGATATCCCATTAATTCAGAGTCAACTGATTGAGAGTATGACAGATGACGACAAGGAGTCTGAGGTCGCCCTTGACATTGAGGACATCGTCGTGCATGTATGTAGTCATCATTTGTTTATCAATGTATTAGCTCACCTGACTGAGAAATGGCAATACTATTACAATAGTAAAAATGTCTCCCAAAACCGCCTTGATATTACATGCTACAGATGGTGGTCCAGTGTTTTACCAGACACTGAAAATTGGATATTATACCATGTGTACACATATTAGAATATTGATAGTGGACACAAGCAATATGTGCAATGTGTGTCCCATTGTATGTAAAACATGTGGTTATTTGAATCATTAACATTTCCATTCTGATAAGAAAAAATGCAATCATAGTTAGCCCAAATTTAAAATGATTACTTGATCAAAGTCTTGTTTCAACTCAGATAGTGTATTAACGAAGGCCTCCTGATCATGAGCAGTGTTATGTGCATGTGCCACAGGTTGTCAGCCTGTAGATAATACGTTCACAGTGAAAAGACCTGTGAAGATCCGTTGTAGAATAGCAACCACTGCTTGCCGTATAAGGCGACTATGCTTGTCGTAAGAGGCGACTAACAGGATCAGGTTGTCAGTCTAGCTGACTTGGTTGATGCATGTCATTGATCCCAATTGCGTGGATCAATGCTCATAATATCAATCACTTGATTGTCTGGTCCAGACTCGATTATTTACAGACCGCCGTCATATAGCTGAAATATTGCTGAGTGCGGCGTTAAACAACAAACGACATCTACAACTTCCGCCCTCAACTACCACAACTACAAATACCTCCTCCTACTACCTCAACTAGCACCCCCAAGACAGACCGCTGTCACATAGTTGGAATATTGTTGAGTGTGGCATTGAACAACAAAAAAAACCAAACTACAACTACAACTACCACCTCCTACTACCACAACTACAACTACCACCCTCTACTACCACAACTACAACTACCACCCTCTACTACCACAACTACAACTACCACCCTCTACTACCACAACTACAACCACCCCCTACTACCTCAACTAGCACCCCCCAGACAGACCGCTGTCACATAGTTGGAATATTGTTGAGTGTGGCGTTGAACAACAAACAAACAAAGTACAACTACCACCTCCTACTACCACAACTACAACTACCACCCTCTACTACCACAACTACAACCTCCTACTACCACAACTACAACTACCACCTCCTACTATCACAACTACAACTACCACCCTCTACTACCACAACTACAACTACCACCCTCTACTACCACAACTACAACTACCACCCTCTACTACCACAACTACAACTACCACCCTCTACTACCACAACTACAACTACCACCTCCTACTACCACAACTACAACTACCACCCTCTACTACCACAACTACAACTACCACCTCCTACTACCACAACTACAACTACCACCCTCTACTACCACAACTACAACTACCACCCTCTACTACCACAACTACAACTACCACCCTCTACTACCACAACTACAACTACCACCCTCTACTACCACAACTACAACTACCACCCTCTACTACCACAACTACAACTACCACCATCTACTACCACAACTACAACTACCACCCTCTACTACCACAACTACAACTACCACCCTCTACTACCACAACTACAACTACCACCCTCTACTACCACAACTACAACTACCACCCTCTACTACCACAACTACAACTACCACCCTCTACTACCACAACTACAACTACCACCCTCTACTACCACAACTACAACTACCACCCTCTACTACCACAACTACAACCTCCTACTACCACAACTACAACTACCACCTCCTACTACCACAACAACAACTACCACCTTCTACTATCACAACTACAACTACCACCCTCTACTACCACAACTACGACTACCACCCTCTACTACCACAACTACAACCTCCTACTACCACAACTACAACTACCACCTCCTACTACCACAACTACAACTACCACCTCCTACTATCACAACTACAACTACCACCCTCTACTACCACAACTACAACTACCACCCTCTACTACCACAACTACAACTACCACCCTCTACTACCACAACTACAACTACCACCCTCTACTACCACAACTACAACTACCACCCCTTACAGACCGCTGTCATATGGCTGGAATAATACTGAGTGTGGTGTTTACAACAAACAAACAAACACACAAACAAACAAACAAACAGAACTTGCAAACTTGTTCCTTGGGATCCTTGGGAAATAGATAGGTGCCGGTAGATGCCTGTTTACCATTATGATGCATGATTTGGCTGCTGTACATTGTTGCTACATATATTTCAGCTGGTGTATCTGGATTATGGCATGAAGGACAAGAATCCAATAGAAAATGTCCGCTTCTATAACAAGTCTGACCCAAACACGGCTGTGGAGGTCAGGAAGACTCAGGTAGGATGACTGGGCTGATATTTGACACACACATTCACTGGTAATACTGTACATGGGGATCAGTAGTACTGGAGGTGGGCATGTGTAACACTATAGGTAGGTAGGCACCTGTAGCAGTGTCTGAAACTCAGCAGAGGGCCAGCACATTTAAAAAACTGTAGGCAAAGTGGAAAAACTGTAGGCCCAGTGGAAAAACTGTAGGCCCAGTGGAATTACTGTAGGCCCAGTGGAAAAACTGTAGGCCTAGTGGAAAAACTGTAGGCCTAGTGGAAAAACTGGTAGGCCCAGTGGAAAAACTATAGGCCCAGTGGAATTACTGTAGGCCCAGTGGAAAAACTGTAGACCTAGTGGAAAAACTGTAGGCCCAGTGGAAAAACTATAGGCCCAAATATTTTAGCTGTAGCAAGGAGACATACTATTGCAATATAAATTACAAAACGCAACCAGTCAACCAGAAGCTTTTACTGCTATCACACAGAGATCTCAGAGACTCTGTGGTGATAGAAGGAGCCTACATTTATCAGGAAATTATCAGCTTGTAAAACATCTTTGCTGCTACATGTCAAACACCATTTGTCAGGTCTAATCCTACTTTACTTTATTTAATCCGATATGGACCCGTTGTCGAAGCATGTGTCCCAGATTATTGTATTTTCAATCACATTGTAATAAAATAGTACATAATTGTATATCTGTTGATAAAATATGATAACTTGAAATGACTGTGAAATTGTCTGACTGTGAAAAGTGATAACAAAGGAATAATATGACAGGTAGGTTTATGAAATTATATACTATTTTGAAGTGGCTACGGTGTACTGGTACACCGGCCTGCTGTGAGGAAAGAGTTAACGAGCGGAGTACTCTGAAGCTGGACCCTGTTTCACCAAGCAGTCTCAGTGTTATGATTCATGTACCATGTTTACAGCTTAAAATAACTGCAGGGTGTAAGGGCCTGCTGAAATTTAAAACTATCAGCCCGAGAACAAATCTGTCAATCTCTGGCCTACGGGCCAGTGTCTATTTCAAACACTGACCTCTAGTACTGTATGTTGGCATCTTTAATACTGTAGGTGGGCATCTGTGATACTGTAGATGGGCCTCTTTAATACCACAGGGAGTACTTTGTAAGTAATAGGGATAATATGTTAATCCGGATGAGAAAAAGCTTTTTTCTGGACCATTGAAATTTATATTAACAGGTTTCAAATGTATATGAATCATTCTCTGATATTTTTTAGGCTGAAAAAATATAAAAAATTCTTTGTTCTCAGGCACTGCTGCATCATCATAAAGTCTGCCACATGTTTCATTTTTATTTCCATTTGAAAAAAAAAGAATAATCCTTAAATATTCCACGTCTTGAACACACACGTCCCCGACAGTGAAATGCTACAATACTTAAAAACAAAATGATCCAATATTGCGTGCAGTTACTTCCCTTTACAAGCGGACTGATCAAGCTCCTTTCCAACTTTGTTACACTTTCGGTAACATCGCTGCCACCAGTGTGGGTGCAGCCATTACAAGAATCTTGAAATTTGCCCTCTAATCCCAAATGTAGTAACGTTCATATGTTTGTTTATGTCTTTGGGAAATCCATCATAGTTGATTTTGAATAGGTTTATGACTGGCCATGTTTTCCAGATGAATTTACTTTGTTGGTATAATCAGATTGGTTTGAGATTGCAGACTAACGGAAATTCCCCCAACTTGTGTACTGTATGGCGGGTACTGTTTCATACACAGGATATAAGATTACATGTGTATTTGTCTCATAAAATATGCTGGAAATGGCGATCAGCTGTTTACACATTTTCTCCCTGATCTATGGGTGATTTAGGTTAAAAAACACTTCATGTCATGGCCAATATCATAACTGAAAAGAAAATTGATAGGATGACTGAAGACTTTGAATCTCTTACGTCTAATGTTCGTTTCAAGGCGAGTTCACGGTGAGCTGATGTGATTTGCCGATCAGAAATTAATGCAAACAAAATTGAATGAAATCTTGGAGAAAAGTTATATAATGGAATATAAAGATACACAATGAACGCCTGTATGGCCAGATTGTGTAATAGTAGGAGTAACGTACGTACTTCAGTACAGATTTGTTGACATGCTTCTTCTGATGTTGTATGCTCATGATAACGTTTTCGCATTGTGAAATAGAATCAAAGCTCATTATGGCGTGTATATGCCCTTACAGGTAGTCCAACGGTAGTTAAATATTGTATTCCAGTATTATTTTACTTATCAAGGAATACATTTATGTAGGGAGGCCCCTTCCCAGGTTGCTTGTACACAACTGTTTATTTGGTTGCATACTAGTTTAAAAAGGGGGCGCCCGCCCGCACTATATTTTCAAAAGCCATTGCCTGAGAACCAATTCTTTTATTTTTTTAAGCCTAAGTAGGTGCTGAATTATTGTAATTTTCTGTTGTAGGTCTCACACATGCTTCCGGAGAAATTTGCTGAGCAAATGATATTGGTTTATTGTAAGGATCCACGGCAGAGGGCCAAACTTGGGATTGCTGCTCGGTGCTTTGAAAACTGGTGCTCTAAACACAACATGGAGACCCCTAAGGTATACCCATACTGTTTCAGGGTACCGGAGCTGCCTTCCTTGTTGACTTCATTGAGTTTGTCAGTTTCCAAACTACACGCCCCTTTGGTATTCCAAGTTAGGATAGGTCTCCAGCAGCTTATTCTTGTTGTAAAATGCGACAAGGATCACGTAGTCAGGCTTAGTGACTTAGTTGATTGAATGTCATTGTGTGTTGATCATTGATCATTGCTCATAATATTCATGACTGGATTGCCTGGTCCAGACACAATTTTTGACAGAGCGCCTACAGTATATAGCTGGAATATTGCCAATTGTGGTGACAAACAGTCATACTAGAGCAATTGCACTGTTGGTGCCTTACACTTTCTGAATAATGATTTTCCAACAGCTTTTGATTCCAATTAAGCGACACTGGTTCATATCTATTGGACACTATTTCCTCTCGGTTGACACAGTTGGACAGGAAAACTAAGGTACTGCAGCTACTGCTGTATGGAGTTGCCTCCCCTTACTTAGCCAGGAAGTAGGTTTTGATTGCAGATTCACCTCAGTTATTATCTTTCTTCTGTCAGCACCTTGATTTTGGTGCAAAGTGGAAAATGCCTACAACACATATAATTAATTAATGTTGATAATAAGACCTAAAACTCATAGCAGTGATATAACTGAAATATTGTCACAGGTGCAGTCCACAGCTAGCTCTCTCTTGTTTGTTGCAGCATTTTGGATGGGAGTTGACTCCAGTTGTGAAGCGTGGTGCCTCCCAGGGCCCTGTCTCCACTCCCCCAGACAGTTGCCACCCAGACGGAGGGAGACAGGAAACACCCCATAGTGCAGGCAAATTCAAGCAGAAATTGTCATTCTAGGGTGCTCAGTGTCCTAAGTTTCAGAAATAGTTCTCAACATAAGTGTTATGTTCTACTTTAGTATAACATTGTTCATAATACCAGGGAGGGAATAGATTATTTTAAAAAATAAAATCATGGCCATAGGTCCTTCACTAAATTTTACCTAAGAACACAAATACTGTCAAATTATGGAATTTGCACTTTAAACTTTAACCACAAGCAGTGAATAGTCAAAGGCCTAGTATGCTTAGTGAAGGATCCAAGTCTTGAAAATGAAGACTGATCAAACAGGACATATCTTGAGTAATAGTCCAATATTTCATTGGCATCTAAACCACAGCATAATAGTAATGATTAAAAATATACAATATTTTTCTTTCATCTTAATTTTGTTAGTCAATTTTCCACACCTGACCCTCCCTAGGGATGAAGAAAACTATTGATCTCTGAAGACATTTCAACAATCGTAGCATAATCCTTTCCTATTTTACTCCTCAGTCTATGATCGGTGGACCCAGTTATCTGAAAGGTGATCAGATGATCTCAATGGCTGTTAAATATGGATTAGTGACTACGATGATAACAAAATGCATGTGACCTGACTAATAATGTACTGGTCCGTCACATTGCAGGCTGGGGTTACATTGTTGCAAAGTTTAATATGGATTAAGCATGTCTGATGGTCTGTTTGAAGAGTATTTAATATTATGAGTTGGTATTTTTAAATCTAAAATGAAAAGGTTGGGCCACTGCATTCCATTGCACCACGCACAGTTTGTTAACTGCTTTGCCAAATTCAAACTTTGCTGTAGGAGCATATTATTTCCTCACCTTTATAAGGTTTGTATAAACCTATCATTTATAGTGGATTTAACTGTTTTAACCACATAAAGATGAAATGTTTTGCTCTTAGAGCACATTATAATGTCTACATGTTGGTGCACAAATGTAGATGCACAATTACATTGTCCCTCAATTTCAAATGTGCAGAGACATCCACAGATAGCACTATACAGCAATGATACAGTCCTTTAACATCATGCAAGGAAATAACAATACAGTGACGTCATTGTTTAATGAACATTGCAGCGTTGCTTCCATTAACTTTCGCAATATGGGTTTAATTCACTTTTTGTTTAATATATAAAGCCCAGATCTGACTTTAGATTCTTAGCAGAACTGCTTCATGTAGATGATACATGTAGTTTGAAATAATTTTGTCTCTAAAGCAGTCCCATTCTTCACAGTTTGAGTTCTGCAGTAAAATTCATACCAGCAGACATCATTAAGGCACGGTCATTTAAAAAAATATTGATTTTTTTTTACTTATCCTGTGTGTGGTGCTTATTTGAAGTGTTGTGGTGCTTAGACAATGATGAAGAATATGTGTCCATCTTATATATTCTTTTACCTCTTGGACAAGAACATATTCTAAACATATATTTTATTAGAAATACTCCACATGTTTGCATGCACAGGGCTTTAAGAGTGCTTGACGATGTATTTTCCTGTATTTGCGAATGTTTACAGCATTGAATATATGCCCATGGCCATGTAGTCCCAGCTTACTGCCTTCCACTGTCTCCTGTAGGTTGGACTGTTCTCCACACCCATGTGTTTTACATGTGCTTGTTATTGTATACAGTGGTTTCATCCACTCTTTTAAGCCATCCTGTTACTATTGCTATTTATTACTTCTATTGTTGCAAGGGTTAAGTTATTAGTGGACACACGTTTGTGTTGGTTAATCTTGGTTTGGAGACAGTTATATGTGATACTGTCTCATTGTGTTTGTTGTTCTTGTGACTGTATTCCACCCTGGCTCTGATTGAGGTGGGGGCACGGGTGGCCCAGTAACCTAAGGCACTGCAGATTACTGTGGAGAGTTGCACCCCATAGTCATACCAGGAACTGCTGATTGGGGAGTTGCCTTGATTATGTTTCTAGGTTTGTCAGCACCATACCCATGTTAATGGCTTTCACTAAAGTGGTTAAACTATTACCCAAATTGAAAAGGCTCTCAACACCGTATTGACCTAGATCTGGCAGTTGTTTCCACATATACCACACTACTATGAGTGGCGTCAAAATCTGAATGAACTTGTACCATCATCCTCTGTGCCCACATAATAGTAGACCTGTGAAGATCCGGGGTAGAATAGCTCTTCAGCAACCCATGCTTGCCGTATAAGGCGACAATGCTTTTCATAAGAGGCAATTAATGGGATCGGGTGGTCAGGCTTGCTGACTTGGTTGATGCATGTCTTTGATCCCAATTACGTGGATCGAATGATGTCAATCAGTGGATTGTCTGGTCCAGACTTGATTATTTACAGACAGCCGTCATATGACTGGAATATTGCTGAGTGCTGCATTAAACTACAAAAAACAAACCAAAAAACAGTAACTGTATGTGATATCTGTATTATCACAATCCCTGACAACTGCTTCTTATTAGCTGGCTTCTACTGCTGTTGTCACTGAGAATTCCAGTACCAGACACATCTTGGACTTCAAGTTTCTTTTTGTCATATTTACCTGGCAGTAGACTGGGGTAGTTGATGGATTGTTTACCCTCAATACAGGGGCCTTGGCTTCCTGTCACGTGATGAAATGTGTAAATCGAATATTGTTACATTACATTTTGTTCGTGTCTCCAATGTGATTTTGTGAACATTGTAAGGGGCGAGTTATTGAGTATCATTTTCATGTCATGTACATGTTTTTTTGTCATAATAGATGTTGGTTAACCAGTGTCAGTCACACCAAATAAGAAAAAAGTAACAAAATAAGGGATTTCATTTTTCTACACAAATTTATTTTCATTATGAGTGACCCTGGTTTTTATTTTGTAACTGATAAGATCAGCAGTGTGTTTCCAGCTTGACTGTAATGATGTGTAGACTGTAAACCACTACTCACACATATCAAGAGGATTTCAGTGTCTTTGTCATGCTCATTGTCGTACAGGGTCATTGATAGGCTTCCATGACTATGGAATATACATGGTGCAAATGGCTGGTTGTATCCTCTCCGACCAGTGAAGGTGTCATCATGTGTTGAAGCTCATCGTCAGTAAGGTTTGTACGTTCCTCCATCATGCGAGAACACAAATGGCAGCTTTGCAGTGTAGCTTCACAGACCGATTCCAGCAAGAGGGAGACAAGTGAGTGAACAGATCAGTGGGCGATAAGATTCATCGGAAATATTTCTCATGCAGCATGTGCAATAGGCTTGTTCCCTTATCATGTTTCTAGGTTCATCAGCACCATACCCGTGCTCATGGGTTTCACCGAAGTGGTAAACATCTGAGACCAGCATGACTTCTGGCTTTCCTCCCACATTAAGCTGACACGCTGTGATATAACTGGAATACTGTTAAAAGCAGCGTTAAACCCAACTCACTCACTCACTCACTCACTAGGCTTGTAGACATCAACTCATTGCATCATAAAGTTCATGAGTGGAGTAGGGCTCATTTGATTTGTGTGTGTAATATTCGTCCACATTTTATTACCTGTCTACAAATATATATGTGTTACTATTATTATGCATAGCTGCCATACATAATAGGGGTGAATGAGGAATATAGTGTACTAATACCCGTGGAGTATTGACTTTGGATGAAGCTAGGTGATATTGCAGTATATTGCCATACACATCAGCTTCAGTTTGATAACATATATACTTACAATGGACTTCATTCTAAGTGAAAGAGGCTAAACTGTTTAAGTACACATCCATGTTTGATGGTGGCTAAAACAAAACAAACAAGAAATGATTATTCAATGGTGATGTATTTGATATGGATATCATAGTGTTTTAGACCTAAAGTTTGAAATGTGAAGGGCGACTGATTTCAGCCGGGGAACATTTTGATAAAGTTTGTACTTTTGTTTGTCAAATCCAATTTTCATGTGTGTGCTTTCTTTTGCCCGGCAGTATAACTTTGATCATATTAGTTTGGTTGAAAGACCTGGAGCAGATGTGTTTGAAATTTTACTGATTTTACCTGGTACATACTTTGTGTTGCTTATTTTGTTTATGCTACTGTTGTATTCCATTCTTATTGAGACATGCAATTTTTTAGAAATATGTTTCAGCAATATTATGAACATGTTTAAGGTGTCTCCTGCATATATATATATATATCATTAAATGCTTTTTCTCAGGACATGTGGAAATTAAGCTGCAGAGGTTATCCCAGTTATTCATGATGTAACAATGATGTGACAATTATTGCTATGTAAAATCTGACAGTAGTTCAGATCTGACCATTATTATTTGCATATTTACCTGTAAATATAAACCTTTTTATCTATTGTTTTATCCTGCCAAGAAATCCACCCATTATATGATAAACAGCCATACTGTCCACATGTACAATGCATAAGAATCAAATATATTTCTCTGTAGTGCAGAAGCCTGGCCTGTTTTTTATGTAACACGTTATATTTGGGATAACACTTTCCGAGTAAAGTACAGATTCTTGTCCTTTTTTGGGCTGAGTCAGCTTTCGGACATGGAAGCTGTGCCAATTTACACTGTCGGAGGGGTACACAAAGTATGCGATCTAGACTACCAGTTGTCGGACTTGCATTTGTGTGGAAGCCTCTGGCTGAGTGGGTTAGATCGCTGACTTTGTGTGCTGGCGATTAGGTGCCTCACTCTGGCAGTGTGGGTTTGAATCCCGGATGGGACTCAACCCCCAGAAAAATATGAGAATCTGTACTTTACAGAGAAACTGTTATCCCAAATATGACGTGTTACATTTGACCACTTTCTAAATGGCATTGTGTGTTCATATTTTTATATACTACTCAAAAAAAGTTAAAGAACCCTGATTCTTTCATATTATGATAGTTAATCTGTCATGCCATGACATTGTGCCTAATGCATGTCTCAACATGCCAGGACAGATCAATTATAGTACAATGAAAGAATCGGGGGCTCTTTAACTTCTTTGAGTAGTATACCGCATCAGTCTCTTTTATTTACCTGCACTTAGGCCCAAAGAATATATGTGTGTTTCACCACTGACAATCTAGAGTCTATGACCCTAAACCATTTTTCTTGAGTTGCTCAATAGCATTTACCACCATCCCAGTATTGTCCATGTTTTATGCTACAAGTGTAAATTTGTTGAACTTCACTATTAACCATGCATTATCTTCATTTGAAAGCAACCGCATGGGGATTCCGAGTTAGAATTGGGCCCCAGCAACCTGGTTATGGTTCAGTGACTTGCTTAAAATTGCATGTCATTGCTCCATGAGGGCATGGATTGTTGCTCACAATATCAATCACTGCGGTACAGTGTTTAATGATGAACAAAAAACACATTTCTGACATATTACAAGTTATTGATTTTACAAGGGAAAAAAAGCACACAAAGAAAACCTTAAACCTTGCTACCTGACCTATTTTGGAATAGGAAGCATAGTTTTTTCTTGACCTTGTTTGTGTTCTGTTCAATGTGTCTGATCTCTGCAGCAGTGCCTTCTTGGTATGTGCTACTCTTGTATCCAGTGTCTGTCCTATGTACCGGTATGTTATAACTCCATTTATCTAGAAACAATTTACTACTTCACTTTTGATAGGGAAAATTCTGTCTTTCCGTGATGCACAAGACTGATTCTCATAATAATCAAATACAGCCCATGCAAGTCTATAATGTTTGGCAAGTCTTGATTACTGCAGGGGCGGTCGGGTAGCCTAGTGGTTAAGCGTTCGCTCGTCACGCCGAAGACCCGGGTTCGATTCCCGACATGGGTACAATGTGTGAAGCCCATTTCTGGTGTCGCCCGCCGTGATATTGCTGGAATATTGCTAAAAGCGGCGTAAAACCATACTCACTCACTCATAATATGTCAAGTGTATATTTAAATAGAATGACATGCCTGATTCTCCCTATCAAAAGTTGAGCAGTATATGTTCAGGACCATTGTCACCAATTGTTCATTATACAATTATGTGTTAGGTGTGTAGAACAGCAGGGATGACAGTGTCTATGTATAGTCTGAACTGTACTCGGTAGTTTGTGCACAGGATGAATACTAATATAACCATGTACCACAGCTGATAGTTTTCTGCAAGCTCGCTGATTTAACTAAACATTACACTCATGCATAACCAACAATCAAATCTGACGCATTTTCTTGTGCCTGTTTTGTTTGATTATTTTGTAGTGATGTTCTTTTAGGTTTTACACAATATCAAAATAATGTTTTCACGTCATGGAAGTTAGAGTATTATGTAAGTGTGATGGCTTGACATCCACTTCAAATTTTTAGCGTTTTTTTAAAATAATTTTCATGTCCATGTTTTTTAAATGTTTTTTGACACATCTATCCCGTTTCAGTTGGGTTTATGTAATTTTTATTCATTATTTGTTATTCAAAAACCTTATTTCTCAATTTCTTTGTTTTGAAATACATCAACGGTTTTTATTTAGATTAATTTTCTGAGTAAATTATACACTATTCTAAGACAGAAATTGAAAAGTACTGTTGTTAGTAGGCATAATCTTTGTATGTAAAACCGCTGAAAGATTAGGCACTGAAATGTTCAAACTTTACATTCAGTGTGAGGTTGAACTAATATTCTGTGAAGTTGCATTCAATCTGTTTCATCTGTTTTTGAAACAATAAGTTTCAGTTGTATTAATTGGCCCAATCAATTCTGCTCATTTCATTTCAGTTACATTTATATCAATATTCTGATACCAAGCTGATGATTAAAATATCTTTAAAATATTGCCTATTTTTAAAATGTTAATCAAATTGTTTTGATATTTCTTTTTGTGATAACTGATTTAGTAATTTACTTGACTCTCAGATTTTAATGTCAATGTGCCAATTTTGTTGATCCTAGTTTTAGCTGATTTGGTTCTCTGAAATCCAATCTTATATGAAATCTGTTGTAGATATTGAAAGCATATATGTTGTTGATATATAGAGATTCCCACCATTCGTGTCTTTTGATATCAAATATATCAACAGTCATTGATAAAAGTGGGTAATAGTTTATGGCAAGTGGTTAAGTGACTTGGTTGATTGCCTGTCACATTACCACGTGGATTGTTGTTCGACAATATTGATCACTGGAATGTTTGGTCCAGACGGCCGTCATAAAGCTAGATTATTGCTGTGTGCAGCATTAAACACAAACACACATTTACGCCCAGCCTCCAACTGTTTAAAATAAATACTGGGATGTCATCACGGGAGTTGATTAGTCAGCTTACTGTTGGTGAAAAGCCCAACAACAAACAAACAATATTGACATTTCTTGTCTCTACTTGAGTTTATGAGAGGATAATATGATCAGTCTATGTAGTCTATAAATTTAATGTTTGGCATGGCAAATCGTTGCTTAGTTGTATTTATACCTCTTGTAAGACTTCATATACGCCGGGCTTACTGATTCTTCTTATAAAAATCTTTACATATCTTGTTTTCCATTTTGAAGTTTTTATTTGAATCATTTGGTGTTTTGCATCACATTTTAAGCAATAAACTATTTTAGTGTTTGCTTGTGTTGTTTCATAAGTGTTGCTTTGTTAATAGTCTAGCTTGAAGGCCCCAACACCTGTGCACTGCCTCCGTGTAATGTGGGTTTCCGGAATTCCAAAGGAATCCGACTGGCGGAGCACCTACCGAAAGGTCAGACCATTAATGACCAATATCATGCTAATCTGATTAGGCAACTGCGTGAGAATATCAAGGCTAAACGTCGTGGAACACTCACTAAAGGTGTGTTGATAGATCAGGACAATACACCTGTGCACAAGTTTGTTCTCACCATGGTCGCAATGCATGACTGGAGCTTTGAACGAACTGATCATTCTCCATATGCAACAGATTTGGTACCGTCAGAGTTCCACGTCTTTTTACACTATCAGGTGGAAATCTTCAATCCAGGTACTCCAGAATCATTGCCAGAACCGTGTGTACCTCGGAGGGAATGATGTAATATTATTTGCAACCAACTCCATGAACGCAGTCCATCAAAGATTAGACTCAGAATGTTTCATCCACCAGTCGTATATCCTAAATATTTTGCTTTGAATCTAGTGTGGAGGTGCAGAGGTTATTAAGGGTAATGTAGAAATCCCTGAAATGGGCCCTGTAAGCATAATTGTTGGCACAAAACGCCCAATTAACCCATGCAGAGGTCGTACATCGCGGTGCCTCGTGGCTCTAGAATTACCTGCACCTCATTTTAACATGATACTTTCTCACTTTAAATATGCATTGATGCATAACGTTGTTTCTCCTACTTCTCCCCCTTAAAACAACAAAATACACAACTACAACATATTTGGATACTGTACGGTGCACTGACTGACCGCAGTTTATTCTTCGACAAGTATTCACATTATCATGAACATCGTCCGCATCAGGAACATCACCAGCATCATGACCATCAACCAACCGTAATTTACATGAATATAGATTCGATGCTTCATATTTCCAACGTATACGTATACACAGGCATCGACGCCTTATCACGTATTCTAATGGCTCGTCAGCGCATACTCATCAGAGTATATCCCAAATCCATACTCTCACAACTGGAGTGTTCGAGATTTCAACTATTGATACCGATCCATCTCACGACGTATTATCATGGCTCGCCAGCACCACTTGCAAGCAACGCATAACATCCTGATCATCATATGGACAGCCGCAGGTACTACACACATAAATAATAAAAAATATAGATTCAACCGACGCGTACTCCAATCGGCATCATACATAACTGAACATGTTTAATATAGCCAGCCCTACTGCACCGCACCTGAGAATGAAGTTTCAACTTCCCGCCTTTACTTATATATCCATTACAAAACCAGGTTAACTCCCTTTGTTGTGCTTTCCGAGGTTAGGAGAAAATAATTTCGTTCTAATTCGTCCCTCAAACGAAAGAAATTAGATAAACATTGGCCTTAAATATCATTAACTCTTTATATTTAAAAACAAGTTGACTCAAAATCGGCCTTTTATATGAATTGTCACAATTTAAATCGATACAGCTGCTACATTTTCATTGTTTTCAGAAAATATATATCACCAGATATAGAGTATGTCGAATTGTTGCCAAATCCAAGCCACAAATTTAACCCAGATTTCTAAAATACACTATGTGGAACCTTATACTACTCAAAACACATTTAAGATCAAAGGATGAGTTTCGTCAGAAAATGTATCCTACCCAGGAACAAATATAATTGTGATAAAACTCAAGTGGGGGAAATATCTATGTATAAAAAAACTCAACTGGTCGACTGGTACCACAACTAGTGACGAAACAACACTCAAACTCAAAATCAGATGTCAATAAGTTAATTGCAAGGGACGAAGCACATGATGTGCTAAGTTAGGCATATTTTCACTTGCATTATGTGATAAATCGGCCACTATGTGCTCATTTTAAAGACTGACCTCGGACCTTTGTCAGATTGTCATTGGGAATCGGGGTAGGGCTACATTGCGTCTTCAATATGACCTTACGTACAGAAATGTGTCTTTGAGACTTAATGTTAGTGTGTCATTGGCATGTTTTGGCAACGTTACCAAATGACCAATTCTGTTAAAATCGACCCCGTTCTGGTAGACGTAGGACAACTACAAATCCCTTGACCCTTAACTTTCTTGAGAAGTATATTTTATCTTACCTTCGAATGTTTAACACTGCAACAAGACCCCATTGTAGTTAGTTACTTGAATCAAACACTCGCCAAACATACGAGTACTCCTAGAGCACACACAATGGACAATAGTCAGAAATGTAGCTTGTTCAGTCATCATTGGTTCCTACCGTGGTTACAACAGACTGGCAGAACATGATTTATACATGCAAAATGTGTTTGGTATTTTAATTTTATATTTTAGTACAGACAATGCTATACCTGACTACGAATTTGACTTTTAAATCAGATTTATGCACACTAAAACATACGTTGACATAACGGGACACACCTTTGTGGTACATCCAGGAGCCAGGAACTTGTATGAAATGTTATAAAGCTTGACTGCCTCCCAACTCTGTTCACTTCAGTTGCCCAACAGACGCTTTGGCAGAGTAACCATATAACGTATCTGGTTCAACCTGACTGGGACGATATTCAAAGTTTGTATGCGCTTACATGTATTATATTCTAATGTTTTAATATTACTGTTTTACTTAACTGTTTTCTAATCTGTTAACATAGGCCAAAACCTCGAGGTGAGGAACATTCTAAGTATCGTTGTTATATGTTGACCAAGTCTTAAAAAGGCATTCAGACGTTGGAAGAACACGAAAACATGTCACGTTTTGTGGATAATAACTTATTTATTGTTTGTAAAGGCGTTTCATGGCTACGTCTTTATCCTTCGTTCACCGGATGAAGGTGAAATTCCAACGAAACATCAGTACAAAATATAATGAAGTTATTGTCTAACTTTCTTGTCTTCATGATACAGTTTGAAATTGACTACGAACTATTACCTGCTTGCCATAAACTGTTACCCACTTGCCATGAACTATTACCCACTTGCAATAACCTATTGCTCACTTGCCATAAACTATTACCCACTGGCTATGAACTATTACCCACTTGTTATGAGCTATTACCCACTTGCTTTGAACTATTATCCACTTGCCATAAACTATTTCTCACTTGCCCTAAACTATTACCCACGTGCTCTGAGCTGTTACCCACTTGCTTTGAACTATTACTCATTTGACATAAACTATTACCTACTGGCTATGAACTATTACCCACTTTGTCATAAACTATTACCCACTTGCCATAAACTATTACCCACTTGCCATGATCTATTACTCACTGGCTATGAACTATTACCCACTTTGTCATAAACTATTACCCACTGGCTATGAACTATTACCCACTTTGTCATAAACTATTACCCACTGGCTATGAACTATTACCCACTGGCTATGAACTATTACCCACTTTGTCATAAACTATTACCCACTGGCTATGAACTATTACCCACTTGCCATGAACTATTACCCACTGGCTATGAACTATTACCCACTTTGTTATAAACTATTACCCACTTGCTATGAACTATTACCCACTTTGTCATAAACTATTACCTGCTGGCTATGAACTATTACCCACTTGCTATGAACTATTACCCACTGGCTATGATCTATTACCCACTTTGTCATAAACTATTACCCACTTGCCATAAACTATTACCCACTTGCCATGATCTATTACCCACTGGCTATGAACTATTACCCACTTTGTCATAAACTATTACCCACTGGCTATGAACTATTACCCACTTTGTCATAAACTATTACCCACTGGCTATGAACTATTACCCACTTTGTCATAAACTATTACCCACTGGCTATGAACTATTACCCACTTAGTCATAAACTATTACCTACTGGCTATGAACTATTACCCACTTGCCATAAACTATTACCCACTTGCCATGATCTATTACCCACTTGCTATGAACTATTACCCACTGGCTATGATCTATTACCCACTTTGTCATAAACTATTACCCACTTTGTCATAAACTATTACCCACTAGCTATGAACTATTACCCACTTGCCGTGAACTATTACCCACTGGCTATGAACTATTACCCACTTTGTCATAAACTATTACCTACTGGCTATGAACTATTACCCACTTGCTATGATCTATTACCCACTTTGTCATAAACTATTACCCACTTGCCATGATCTATAACCCACTTGCTATGAACTATTACCCACTGGCTATGATCTATTACCCACTTTGTCATAAACTATTACCCACTGGCTATGAACTATTACCCACTTGCCATGAACTATTACCCACTGGCTATGAACTATTACCCACTTTGTCATAAACTATTACCCACTGGCTATGAACTATTACCCACTTTGTCATAAACTATTACCCACTGGCTATGAACTATTACCCACTTGCTATGAACTATTACCCACTGGCTATGAACTATTACCCACTTTGTCATAAACTATTACCCACTAGCTATGAACTATTACCCACTTGCCATGAACTATTACCCACTGGCTATGAACTATTACCCACTTTGTCATAAACTATCACCCACTGGCTATGATCTATTACCCACTTAGTCATAAACTATTACCCACTTGTTATGAACTATAACCTGCTTGCCATGAACTATAACCTGCTTGCCATGAACGATTATCTGCTTGCCGTGTATATTTCTTGTAGTTTAATTATTCAAGCACGTTTTCTGCCAACGATAGTAGTGAACTGATGACGCTGATACACTGAAGGTTCATCACCATGTTTTTTTAATATATAAACATCAACTGAACCACATTTAATCGACGAGGCAAATACGGATTAATGAATAGATGGTGATAGTCTCATATAAAATAACCCAACATCATTTATAAATGATAATTACATTGTACATAGAGATACATTTATTCCCAGCCCTATGAAGCAAACATCCCGTTAAACCTCTAATGGAAAATAAATCATTCAACAAGGTAATCACGCGTCTTTTGATAGGAACACTTTTAGCACAGAGCATATGCTGCTTTGAGGCAGTTTAACAAACTTAACTGGAATAATTCGGTTTGTTATATTACAAGCAAACGTAGAATCTAGTGTTGATACTACAGGATACATTAATGGTTTGAAGTAGCTGGAGGTTTGTCATTGGCATTGCGCGTGAAAAAAGGAAATTTCGGTCATTAAGTTTTCATACTTATATTACTTTTGGATATGACATACATGTTTTTGTTTCATAATATCCGTGCTAAATGCTTTCATTAATTGATAAAACATGTTATTTCTTTTAGCTTGTTCCCAATAAATATATTATAAATGTTGTAATATTCTTTTTGTGATAGCGACTATAGAATATTTCTATACACTTGTGGTATGTGCTGGAAAACAAGGATCACCACGTGCACATGGACACAGAACAATAGTATTGCTTTTTACAAATGTGACGTAAAAGATGCCAAATAGGTGATATGATGTATTATGCTCACATATGTTAGAATTACCTATACAGCTGTTATTTCTGTTTCTGTTCATATAAAGGGCAAATAAGACGGATTTCTCAATAATGGGCAACGTGGTTCCCAGTTCCGTGGATACCGAGGATGTCAAGGCGACTCATGATAGAATAACAGCCCTGGAGAGCGATGTGAATTGGTATAGACGTCAAACTTACCCTTTTCGCGAACACTTGGTGCCATCACTGATTTTCAGTGATCCATCTCGTTATATAATCGAGACTGGTTATTGTCTGGCGTTGGTGTTGTATATATTTAAAACACGTTATGAAAACGGACTCAATCTTTTTTTAAAACAATTCGAAACACTTTGATGTGTATGTTTGTCTGTAACACAACACTCAATTGTTTCCCTTTTCAAGTGTACAGTATCTGTACGTATGATCGGCCAGAATAAAGCAATTATTTGATTAAAATGACAAGTATATTTGGTGTAATAGAACGGACTGTTATAATTGTAAATATTATAAGTTGATATCAATATCACGGCTCACAAACAAGAAAATAATTATTTAAAAATATATATTAAATCAGACCACATATGTTTATGGTTGACTTACAGGGCTGTGTTCAAGTTCGACAAGGGTAAAGTCAAAACCAGTTCAACGGGGAAAGATTTTAAAACATTTGTAGCTCAATTTTCAGGTAAGATTTATTTTTATTTAGTTGAATGAGAGAGTATATCGTTGCGTTTACTACAATGGCACCAATGAACGGCTTCATACATTGCATAATTTGGGGGTTCTAACCGGGATCGAACGCTTTAACTCCTTGACGATCCACGTTATATATGTTGAGTGTATGTTTATTTATTAATATTGACACTGTAGTGAAACGGAGTTGATCACATCATTATATTTGCCTGATGTTGAATGTTACATCCGTACTCTTCCAAATAAAGGAAACGCAAAGCCAGATTTGTGTGAGATAGGAAAGTACATTTATACGAGGAATCGAACAAGGTATTGAGCAAAAAAGTTGTGGAGAGATCACTTGGTGATTGTCATCATCACAGTTATCGGTGCATAGGAAAAGTCAAAGGTGAAGTTCAGCTACCATCAATAACGCGTATGTCCCCCGTTGGAATCAATAGCGGCCTGACATCTCCTGCCGAAGGAAGAGACGAGTATTCGAATCACATCCTGGGGAATGGTAGCCCACTCGGCCTGCAACGCAAAAGTCAACTGCTGCAACGTCTGGAGTTGTTGTTGACGTTGACGTCGGCGTAGCCGACTATCCAATTCATCCAAATCGGGTTCAAATTCGGGGATCTTGAGGGCCAGGGGAAAAAATCAAGATTGTGTTGGTGTGTAGGCAGGCTGTATGCGGTCGAGCGTTGTCCTACTGGAATACACCGTTGCCGTTGGCTGCAATTGGGAGGACGTGAGGTAGGAGAATTTCGTTGATGTATCGTTGAGCCGTAAGATTGCCCATATATGGACCAAACATGTCCTGCCATGATAAGAGATAACCGCCCACATCATAACGCTACCCCCACCATACCTGTCCACTTCCTGTACGCAGTTTCCGACGTAACGTTCTCCCCGACGTGCTCTTCCATCCCCTCGACGGAGGAGAAATCTTGATTCGTCGCGGATCCAGACATCTCTCCATCGCAGTTGAGGCCATACCCTGTGTTGACGACACCAATGCAGAAGTTGTTGACGATGGTGTCGACTCAATATGACGCATCGAACAGGGCATCTTGCTCGTAGACCTGCTGCTCTTAAACGGTTTCGTACGGTCTGGTCGGAGATTTTGCGCAGTCCGGGTATTTGGATGGCGGGTGAGGTGGCTATGGCCGTGCTTTCCGTAGGTGGCGCCGTCGGATGTAGCGATCTTGGGCGGGGGTGGTTACCCTTGGTCGTCCCGACCTTGGCCGATCACGTGTTGACCCATGCTGTTGAAACCGATCCCATAGCCTTGTGATGGTGCTGGACACTCCATTGAAAACCATGGCTTCAGCTGATCAGGATTTCCTGTCTGCAAGCGGCCTATGACGTTCTTTCTTTGCACTTCTGTTAACCTTGGCATGTTGTTGAACTGTCACTGTTCGATTGACGCAAATGACGCTTTATTACGTGCAGTGCGTGCAGCTCCATTGCTCTTTTGTTGATGCACTGGGTGCGTTTTTCTGAATCGTACGTGTTTCCCGACTAATGGTTTGCATGTCCTTGTTGTTATCATTTTGATCCGAGGAATTTGTAACTGACAATATAACACATTAAACCTCTTCATTTTGCACCTCTTGGTCCGCTAATTTTGCTTTTATGGCCAAAAATATCCGTTTTGTGTTTCCCTTTTTGAAGAGTATATTATATACCCGTGAAGATCCGGGGTAGAATAGGTCTTCAGCAACCCATGCTTGCCGTAAAAGGCAATTATGCTTGTCGTAAGAGGCGACTAACAGGATCGGGTGGTCAGGCTCGCTGACTTGGTATCTCAAATGCTTGGATTAATGCTAAGATTCGATTATTTACAGGCCGCCATCATATAGCTGGAATATTGCGGCGTTAAACAACAAACAAACAAACATCTATTTCAAGTCATGTTTGGTATGCGATTTCGGAATGCAGGCATCATCAATGAAGGCATTTGTTTCCTTTGCAGATGACGAGGTAGCATTTGCTTACTATCGCCTTGAATTCGGCGTGTACATCCTCATGGTGTGGCTTGGGGAAAAGTCATCTGCAACAGACAAGTTAGCCGTGACTACAGCAACACCGTTTGTTCTGGCCATATTAAAGGCATGTGTTCTACAGAAATTAGTCCCAGTGAACCCTCGTTAGCTCGTACTTTATTAACGCGGTTATGCCCGGAGGACGGAAGGTGGATGGTTTCATGAACGGGCCGCGTCATTCCAAAAGACGTTAAAAGATAGTACTTGTTGTTGATAGTAGTTGTTGCCTGGCATTTTGCTTTAGGGGCCGACCATTTGATATTCTGGGATTTTGTATGAAGACTAAAAGCAGATATTTTGTTAATTAAACTATGTAAACTTTTGTTCTTGTGGCAGACAATTTCTTCTTCTTTTTTTCAACAATCTGAAACATAATGGTCGGTCCCTTAGGGGATAAAACTGGTCGGCTCGGATTCAGAATATTGTGTCTGAGTGGGGTATCGATGTTTTACTGCATACTTACTCCCTGAGGTAACACTTTTACATGCGCACAGTCACGTGCATTCGCGTCGCAACATGAATGAATTTTTTATTATTATTTTTAAATGCGACGTTAAGCCCAATTTTACCTCATCCTAGTAACGCGAATTTTAAGACGGAGTATATATTTGGTCCGGGCGAATACACAAGAAGTACTTCAAATCGTACTATTTGCAGTTTGGAATAGATTATGCATTTTTAAACATTCTAGATATTACAAGATTAAATCCATTAAACATTTCAGTTCAAAAACCTTCCTTACAAGATGTCGGTGTTACTCAACAATTTGGTATATTCTGATTAGACCGGGGCGGTCGGGTAGCCTAGTGGTTAAAGCGTTCGCTCGTCACGCCGAAGACCCGGGTTCGATTCCCGACATGGGTACAATGTGTGAAGCCCATTTCTGGTGTCCCCCGCCGTGATATTGCTGGAATATTGCTAAAAGCGGCGTAAAACCATACTCACTCACTCACTCACTGATTAGACCGCCTCCGTGATCTATTGGTAGAGCGTCCGCCCGGAGAGCGACAGGTCCGGGGTTCGATCCCCGGCCGTTAAAAGATGGTACTTGTTGTTACCCTGTCTGGCGCTCGGCATTAAGGGGCTAAAACAAGGACTGGTCGGCTCGGATTAAGTATACTGTGTCTGAGTGGGGTATTCATGTTAAACTGCGGCGTGGTATCTCAGTGGGCTAGCTAGCAGTACTAGTACAAACAGCTACATACACACATGCAGACCGCTATGTAAGTGAAATAATCATGGACGCAACGTAAAACCCCATTTCACCTCACCTCACCTATATTCTGATTACAATTGTGCATCGTACTGTATTTGTATTTTAATGAAAATATCTTTGAGAATGTCAACTCTTCAGAATGTTATTTTAGTGTGCGTTTGTGATTATGCGTGCGTGCGTGCGTGCGCGCGTGCCTCAATACTTTAGGAATTGTTCCTTATCTGACATGGCTTCCTAGTTATAAGAAAGGAAAAGTATGGCAAGTCACTGAATACCAAACCAGACAACCTCGATGACTCACTGTCCCATATGTTTGCTTTTTTGTTTTCAGACGTTTGTGTACCAGTTTATCACCAGCAAATTAGCTGACGTCGATCTAGACCGCATCACTAAACTCGTGGACAAGGCCAAGGGAGTTGCAGGACTCCATTGAATCCAATACACGTGGGTTTCTGAGAAAAGGGTTCTCTTGATTCCTACTATATCTAATAAAACAAGCCAAAAGCATGTAGCATTTAGAAATAAATCATGAATACTTCATGTGTGTTTTCAATATTTGATGTCATGTGTGTTGGTTCTGTGACAATACGCGAACTAATGTCTCGATTTTGTTGTCCATCCAGAGGCGGTCGGGTAGCCTAGTGGTTAAAGCGTTCGCGCGTCACGCCGAAGACCCGGGTTCGATTCCCGACATGTGTACAATGTGTGAAGCCCATTTCTGGTGATTATTTACAGACCGCCGTCATATAGCTGGAATATTGCTGGGTGCGGCGTTAAACAACAAACAAAACAAACAATCAAACATAATGTTACACCACACAGCGGCCATGTGTATTCACAGGTAATTGAAGAACATGGTTAAATACAGATCTAGGAAGGTTTGACGATGTTCCCGTCAGATTCACCTCGTCGTCATTTGGGGTCATAGTTTTCTGGCTATTTGTCATCGGTGTCTTTCAACGCCATACTCGCTTTCCATGGTTGTGTAACGTTTGAAACCTGCGTCATGCACGGATGAAAATTAGGTCGTAGAAGGAAGGCCTCGAATCGATCTCATTTCGCATTTATATAGGCACAGCCACCCTTCCAGGAGATACTACCCTGAAGCGCAGAGAGGAACTGAGTAAAAGTTGTATGACGCTCTTTGAAATCCTCGTAGAAAGAGCATGCTTAATTGTACCTCAAAAGTTGTGACATCAAGATGTGGATCTGCACGCCCATTGATCGTCATATAGGGAGAGTGGAAGCCATCCTTATTGCAATACCGTGTTGTAGATAGTTTTCATTTGTAACTCTGAGTCTTTATGCACAGATCTAATTATGAAACAGGTAAGGAATATGAAACACATGAACCAGCGGAAGGGAATGGCTATTTGATCATTACCTAGCAATATCACATCGATGAACCTGGGCCTTATGTTAAAATTCTTTCCTAAAACACTGCAAACATCAATACACCATATCCAGATCCATTTTGCACGTACTCCCTGTTCATTATTCTTAACTGCTTTTGTTATTACTAACCACGACATTTCAGATAAACCCATCAGTGGAATTTTCCACTGGGGAATTTCGTTCGGCTCTACTGTTCACGTTAACTGTGCAGGCTCCCGTCACTCAAACTCGCTTCCCTGTTAGGCTCAACAACTTTAACCGAGTTGTCTTATATCATTAACAATAGAGAAACAAGCCGACGAAAACGTGAGGTAGAGGTACGTGCCACTTAATAGATTAGTAATCACTTTTCTAGTTTCATGATTTCATAATTCAACATATTGTAATATTTATTTCCAGTAAACATTAATTTGATTGAAAAAAAATCGTTATGCATCATGCAAAGGAAGTCCTTTGCCTGAAAAGGAAATATATGACAATTATGAATTATTTGTACGTTCGTTGACTTTCTATGAAATCAGCAAAATATACCCATTCATCTTTATTTGGGATTTCTAAACTTCAAACGAATAGATATAAGGGGCGATACACTGCAGGGCCCAGAGGAAATACCACAAATACTTTTTTACTCACACCTATTCTGACATCAATCAAGAAAAAGTACAAATCAATTGCCGAGAATATATGAGTGGAGTTAATCACAAAGATTCACAATCTCAGACCAGAACAAAAGTGTCAAGATTACAAAAAATAACGTTTGATCTTCCACTCTTTACGCAACTATTTACATTCTCTAGGAATGTTTAATGAAATGTGTTCTTAAAAATTCCTTTTCCCTGTCACGAGATGAGACAAATATGATATTTCACGAGACACGTACACTATCCTATTTATTATTTATTTTATTAAGTAGATGTGTACCGGAAAATTACAAACCTTGAAAGGTAAATTCTCCCTACTTAACACGCAGGGACGTTTCACCTCCCCTGTAACTGCGACTTAAAAAGTAGTTCTCTGGTATCGATACACACTGGTCACATACCAAACGTGGCGCTTTGTGAAACGAACAGTCTCGATTTACAAGTTATATGAGACATTTTTGCAGTTTATAATGAAACGTTTTCAAGAGAATAACAAATTACAAGAAGCGATATCAACTCCATAAATGACCATCTGTCATTATGTTGCCTTGTCAATGTGGATAACGTAAAAAGGAAGTAAACAGCGTGTAGACGGGCAAGAAACTATCGATAAAGGGGAGATAATTTGCGGGTGTGGGGTTGGTGGGACAACTCTTATGAGACTTACAACTCAATAGTACCGTCTAAGTATTATGTTATGTAATGAAAATACACTGAAGTATATTAGAATTATTACTCTCACTGTATACGTGTCAAATATAGCACCACTTAGAAATTATGTTTTCTGAAAAAATAATTATTCAGCCCAGCAGAATAGCCTCTGTATATAACCGTTAATCTGTTTGCTTCTATTTCAATGTAACATTTGTTGATGTATCTTTTGGTGTATTTGGATTAAATAAAACCATCTCTTTGTTCATTAATTCATTCTTAGCCAATATTGTTTTTATTTTCCGCCTCCGTGAAGATCCGGGTTAGTTGTCTACAGAAACCCTTCCTTCTGGTAAGAGGCGACTAACAGAATCCGGTGGTAAGGTTCGCTGTCTTGGTTGACAGATGCTCATGATATCTACAACTGGATTGTCTCGTCCAGGCCCGGATATTTCCAGATTTCGTCATACAGCTGGTGAAGGTTGGTTCTATCTGAGAGTGACTTGTGTATGTAAGGTTGTTTTGAGCAGTACTGTATTCACACACAGTGTTGTGGAAGTAAGCAAGAATACACTGAGTGGAGTGGTGCACGAGTTGGTTCTCACAAACCATGTCGCGGTCTCGCATCCATTCATCACTGCAAAGCAAATCGTTGCGCCCATGATGACGGCCCCCATCTCCCCCTGTTTTAGGGAGATGTGTTTGAAAAGCATTTAATCTTTTTCATTGCTTCCAGGGTACCTCAGTTAGTAGATGTTTTCCATATTGATAAAATCCTAGCCACAATCATAAGAGCACAGTCCATTGTACGATCCCAATTATATCAGGACCATGTGTTTATGAATCACTATCAAATAGTGATGACACCAGGTGTTCGCGTATCCTGCCCCACTGGTGGCACCCGTTATAATGAGCCTGGTTCTGTTGTTGACAGGCCTCCGACAGCCTGGACGAACCTGGAAGCGTTTGGCGGACCCTGGCATGGTGAAAGGACACAACTCAAATAACATTCAAATATCTGAGCTGATTCCGCCCTTAATGAGTTTTAACATTTGGCTAAACAACGACAGAAAGTGTTGATGCCACAGTGTTTTGGTGCAATGAACTGTCATTTTAACACCTGAGTTCACCTTAAAATATAGTTACACTCACATTGTACATACCTCAATTGTATCTTTCGGATTGACAGATTTCAAAGACAATCTTTCAAAATATTCAGTTAGTGATGATACGTGTTTGTGAACAGGTAGAATGAAAAGGTTTTCACGGAAAACTCCCATGAACGGATTACGCGAAATGGTCTTGATGGATTACCTGGATGTGTTCGTCCTTTGTATGAGTTGACCTAAGTAATTCGACCTATTATCACATGTGATATAAATATTAAATAACTATTGAAGCAAAATATGCACACTGAAAACACTGATTAATTGTTCTCAGGAAGATAAATTCGTTGCTCCGTTAAACAGTCTTGCATAATGTATTGATGAACGGTGCATTTGAACACTCATCTATCTCTTGCAAATATTATCTTCAGACGCTTCGTAAATGGGAAACGAAAATAATAACTAGACTCTCAGTTTTTTAAGTAAATGAGCCTTTTACACATTATCAGGATCTATTCAGGGTACAATCTATATATATCTGTGTTAAAAGAATTGATCCAACATCTACATGTCATTCTAACTAAAATATCAAAATCAAGTGATATAGAAAGATATATTTAACACACGAAGAAAATGCTTTTAGAATATGTCAACTATTATGTGGCATAACTTAATTTATTAAATTAAGGTTTATTTCTAATGATTATTGTAGCAGTAAATGAGGCCCTTGTAAAGTATTGAGCTTATTGTTGCTGGTTTTATTCTTTTCTTTTCACAGTCCACAGCTCGTGACACAGAGAACCTCCCTTGGTGTTAATGTCCCAAACTCAATGTCCCAAATGCTTTACACATATGTTGGCCTACCAGAGCTCCGACGGGTTGTCTTACAGCCTCGTCTGCAGTTGTTGAAGGACGACATTTTCTTCCAGTCACTTCTAGGCAGACTTGTGGTCAAGGGAAAACAAATACATTGTCCTGCATTTACAGCATTAATTAAACAGTGTTTTTCCGCTGAACCTTTTATAGATTCCACTGTACATCAAAATACCCGGCAAGATCCCAGGATTTCCCGTCTAAATACTTCGCGTCAAGACATTCGAGTAACCTCCCTTGTGTCATTTCCTGTCCTCGCGAGCACACGACTGCAAACCCAAATGGCGGCAAAGATGTGGTTGCTTTTCGTCGATAGAACGAAAGATTCGAGGTAATTTCACAGCGTATCGAATGATGGAACTGTTGGAGATGTCATAAGCATGATTCAAAGAAAACAGCATTGTCAGTAGTGTAAAGGTTTCTGAAACTCTATCCGAGAATGTGGAAACGGTGTTTTGACAGACATGGGAACGCCAAGAGAAATTTCCCAATCATATAATGTAATTAATCAACCTTTCTGTGTAATGTACATACGTCTTACTGAAACTGCATCTACTTTAGTACTTTTACTCAAACATTGCTTCCTCACATTTGAGTAATTTAGGAGCTTTAGTTGCTTTCTATTAAAAGTGAGATTGGTCAGGTTGACTTTTCTCCTATGCCCAGTGTAAATGTTTTCTGGTAATGCCTGTCTCGTTATTACTTATCAATCCCTCTGTCTTCCCTATCATTCTTACATATATCAGCCCTCACTCGTTTATGCTATTGCTGCAGGTTCCACATCAAACACAAGTGATGTATGACATAAGTCTTCTTATCATGTGTGCTTGATTCATGAGAACAGCTTCATAGGTCTGGATTCGGAAAGTCAGACAGTGGTGTGCTAATGTTCAATGTAGTAGTTTTAATGTGACTTTTTTTAATTGTGTAAGTGTACTCACTTGATCTTGTTTTGTTTTATAGATCATTGATATATCTTCAAAACTTTTAGACGACCACCAACCGTGAAAAATGGATTGTTAATAAGGTCTTCAAATTGCTCCTGTGGTACCTAGACGCCCATTTACTTACAGATGACCAGCAGATGTATCATTCCGCCACTGTTCAGAAGCCTTGCGGGGCATTATGACCTGTACGCTTAAATTAAACAATCACCTTATTCATGTCACACACACAGTATGTATTCCCATGCACGCCAAGAATGTTTATCGGTCTCGTCATTTTTTGCCTGCTTTTATTTATAGAATTGTTTTTAATCAATCTATTGTAGATAAAACATGTTGTCGAAATTAATTATAAGGATTGACTGTCGAATTCACGACGTTTGCACATCGGCTTTTCGATTCATACCTCAATGAACCGAAAAGAATACAGTCAGTCCTTAATTATGTCGAGTTTCACTAACACCGGATACCGTTACTGTAAGTACAATCATTGGTGAAATACTTGTCTACGTTACCATTGAGTGTGTAAGGCTGCAGTTCCGTTTCTTCACACACAACACATACACACGCACACACACGCACGCACGCACGCACGCACACACACACACACCCCCACACACACTTATTCTGAAGTGTTTGGTACTATGTTGGATTTTTGGTTAAGTGTCCATCTAACATTCCTAAAATTAATGTCGCTATCTTAAACTACATACAAATGACAAGACAGCAGAGTACAGAAAACTAACAACAATGAATGAATTATATGTCCAGAGAAAAGAGATAAGAATAAACAATAAATATATTAACTCTTGATATGAAAGAATTGTGTAGCTACGTCACTTCTATGCATGATAATCTCAATCCCTTCACAAACATGTAACAATAGGATACGCCCACTATCCACGGACTACCCATTCCTGATTGAGTGATAGAAGAGTGGGTGGAACCCGAGTTGCTGTATTGTGTTGAACGTCGTCACTTTTTACATATCGTTGTCTATAGGTTTTTGTGATTAGTTTTTAGTTATTATCATTATTGGTGTATGCATTTGATTCGATATATTTTTAAGTTTGACGGTATAAACGCACACTGTGTCAATCCGCATAGTACTCTGATATGAATAATTCTACCATGAATTTGGCAAATACTTGATTCTGATTGGTAAATTAGAGGCTATTAAATCACAATAAACCCCCTCTGATTGAAACAGGTGGTTTAACGGCCTCTTTACCGCGTAAGGATATGCATGTGCACTTTGTGCTTGCACATAAAGATGGCGGAGCTCACGAATTCTGTATCAGTGGGAACTTTTGATATAGGAAGTTTTGCTGAAGTCTATCATGACCCTGCAAATGAATGGAGTGGCGATGATTTTGACATTATACTCTCCAATCTGGACGATTCTGGTGACAATAATAATACAAACATCTTCAGAAATATGTTTTGAAAAAATCAGTTGAACAAACACCAAAACGACATTTGTCGTCTGCTGCTCAGGCTATCATATTATTATGTAAACACATACCCTCCAAAAAGAATTTAAGATGAAATTGTGAAAGATAGCATTGTCTGTATTGATAGACGTGAAGGACACGCCGCCTGAAAGGCAAAAACTTGCCGCCGAGCGCCCCCTAATGAAGAAGTACCTGAATGCTCAGACAAAAATCAGTCTGGATCTGGGTAATATTTAATTTGTCAAAATAAAAAGACATTTAAATACATTTTGGGGAAGATGCTGTGAACTAAAATCGGTATGCTAGACATACATATTTTTTATGTGAATTATTAACAACAGATGCTCAGGTAGCGAGGCGTAGTGGTGTCGACAAGACAAGTTGCAGAGTCTGATCTTGACAACATATTCCTAGACGGAAGAGCTAAAAAAGTACCCTAAGGGCCACAAACTGGGGAAAAAATATTTTCAAACGTAAGATAGCCCAACAATAACAAATTTACATCAAAATTGATAAAAGCGTTTAAAAAACCCCTGAACATACCAGACAGACCTCTTAAAGTACCAACAACATCGTAATATATACACATGCACAAAAGTTAAGCGCCACCATATTCATAGTCTCTTGATTTCACGTGTGGGAATCAGAAATGCGAAATATGATGATGTATGACTGAATTAGGCTTCCATAGTTTCATGAACCCAAACTTGTACAGATACCACAAGGAAAGCGTACTTTACGTGTTGCTGCAGTTCCCCTACCCTATAAATAGTGAAATTCAAGTTTCAGACCCGTGGTTGCATTTTGCTCCTGTGTGAGATTCCCCTTCCAATAGAGGTTGAAAATATAGGCATAGGTCTGGTAGGCCAGGAAAGACCTCTAACAGAGAGGATAGACGTCTTTTCAGGATAGTCAGACGAAATCCATTTACCACTTCAACAGATTTAAGACTGCAGTGGATTACCCATCAGAGACTCTCGACGATGACCGTAAGGCGTCGCCCCAGAGAGCGGCTGGTTATAACGTCAGAAGACCAGTAAAACGTCCTCAACTGACTGAGAGGCCGTGCGGAATCGTCTGATATGGTGTCGTGCCCGTAATCGATGGAACTTGACCAACTGGAGAAGGATCCATTGGTCTGACGAGTGCCGAATGCTGCTACGAACTGTTGATGGCCGAATACGTGTTTAGAGGCAACGTAACACTCGTTCTGGAACATCCAGAAGACCTTAGCATGTGGCGGGGGGTCTGTCATGATATGGGGTTGTGTTTCCTTCGGCTGCAAACTTCCGCGGGTGACAATTCGTGGAAACCTGAATGGCCAACAATACCAAGATGCCGTTCTTCGTCCAGTGGTAGTCCCTCATTTTGACAACCATCCTCTTCAGACAAGACCTGTTTACATGGACGACAATGCTAGACCACACAGATCTCGGGCAGTTTTGGCTTATTTGCGTCAAGAAGCTATTGCCACTCCTCATTGGCCGGCCTGTAGTCTGGATCTTAATCCGATTGAGCATCTGTGGGACATTCTTGGCCGGAAAATCAGACATCGTGATCCCCCAGTTCAAAATCTCGCTGGACTTGAAGCCGCACTTCATGAAGAATGGATCCGTTTGCCTCAGAGAAGCATTCAACGACTTGTAATGAGTATGAGGCGTAGGGTTGAAGCTGTGGTCAATGTCCGTGGATCATACACACGTTACTGACGTTTCTGTCTTGCAATAGACTCTGCACTCCCTGGGGTGTCTATGTGACACCTGATATGGTCTGCTGATATCATGACAGTTACACGACAAAAAAAGGTTTTTCAATGTTTTCTAATCCTTCAATTTCTGGTCTTCGGTAAAATTCATTTCTGCTCATATTCTTTTGAAACACAAGATACACTTGCTTCATTAAGTGCCAAAAGTAACAGCTCACAAATATGGTGGTTGGCGCTTAACTTTTGTGCATGTGTATAGATAGTTTGCAATCTTAAAATGTATGCCTTACCTGTTTAAAAATTGCTTACTTGATCACATGAGTATTACCAGTATTTCCATTGTATTCAGAATGGCTTACACAACATGGTAAATCCGTGGAATTTGAGGGACTTCCAGCTGAGTAACTGTGCAAACTTTTAAAGCACTTTTATGCGGAGATTCGCAATGCGGATGACAAATATTATTCCAAGTCATCCTTCATAGGCAATTTACCGTCATATTCGCGCTCCTCCACATAATCGGAACATCAACATATTGCGGGAAAATGAATATCACTGCGAATAACCTGTTTCTCGGCATATTGCGTAAACTTAAAAAACTTGGCCTAGATAATGCTACGCACCACGATGCCATATCCCCAGGGGATTTCTCCAAGATTCGCGATTTTCAGTCAGTAGACAATCCTGAGAGTCTTCAGCAAGAAGTATGGTTTGACCTCACCCTAGGTTTCGGTCGAAGGGGTTGTGAAAACCAGAGGAAGTTGTCTGTCCATCGCTTAGCAGTTGAAACAGATGATGTAGGGGTAGAATATATAACCATGTCCCATTCAGAGGCCTACAAAAAACCCATCCAAGGGGGTTGCAGGATAAAGTGCAGGGAAAACCAGGATTTTATGCAACAGGGACCCAATCATGTCTGTTGGCAGCTTTCAAAAAATACCGTTCCAAACTAAATCCAAGTAACATGAAACCGATGGTACATGGTATATACTAAAACCCCTTGGTCAAAACACAATCACTCAGATGATGAAAGTAATTTCCACACTATCCAGCTTGAGCAAGGTGCATACGAACCACTGCGTCAGAGTCACAGCTGCCACTCTCCTCTCGCATGCCGGTGTTGAGGCGCGCGAAATTGTAAAATTAACAGGTCACAAAAATCAGCAGTCGTTGATGTCTTACAACACAGACCTCCTTCAGCCAAAAGCGGCAATACACGGGTATTTTC